GTACGCTGGTGTTATCGTTAGGGATATGTAAATACAATGTTCTAGAAAAATATAGATCTTTACTCCATCTAAAAAAAGTCCGCGGTACCATATAGACATATTTCATATACATAAGCCATAATTAGGTATTTTGTGACAAAAAAATATTGACAATTTAAAAGTGATTAGAGAGCGTTATTATTAGGCATGGCCTATTTATCCTTACGAACGAAAGTTACATCATCATCAAGACAATTTTATGAAGATAAACTTTGTTCATTATACCATGTTATTTGGACGCATAGTTTAAGAGATAATGTAAAATTAAAATAAAATAATTCAATACTTGGCTGGGCGCGCGAACGACACATAAACCCTAGTCGCCCGGTGAGAACTGCGAGAACTGCTCAATCGGGAGGGGGAGGGAAAGTGGATAAAAATTAACTTCGCTCTACATCATACATAATATGCCGACAGATCCATTAATTATGCCAATTTTTCCATCCATTGCTATCAAATAAAATAGTTCTAGCATTTTATAATTGCCATTATAAAATGCTTGAACTAGGTCATGTCGCGCACCTCCGACACGTGATGACGCGGGTGAAACCGCGGGGCACAGCTAGTATCCTATAAAAAAAAATAGAATTCAATTTTCCGTACGCATTTATTAGAATTGAATATAGTGAGTACTTATATATGTAGTCTAAATTAAATTTTTATACCTACACTACCTACTTCTGAGTAGTAAAAATAAATATTTTTTCATTTAAGCTCATATAAAATTAGTTTATCACGTTGTTTACGATTAAAAACATTTTATTTTTTAATATTAGCTGATTAGAATGTTATAAACAGTTCAAAAAGTAAACATTGCGATAAATCGACATTTTTTATTCTCGCTATCTAAAGTCATGAAACAACTGACATTATTCATGAATAAGACAAGTTCCAACAAGTCACGTCTGACTACTTGTCCTCACGTGTTCCCACCTCCCCTTGTAATGTGCTCCGGGTGGCCAGTTTTCCAAGAATCCCGGGATTTTCTCCCAAAGGATTTTAATACAAAATGATGCACTTAAATAGGGCATTCGAAAATCTATTGAACCCCAAATTTCCATTACAACAAGTTTACAATTGATATATTTTTCACCGAAAGAAAACTCTTTATTAAATACTAGCTGACCAGGCAGACGTTGTTCTGCCCCTTTCCCACGACCATGTGTCCTAAAAAAAATCATTAAATTCACAATAAAAAAATTGAGGGTTACTTATCGGGATAAAAACTATCCTATCTCTTAAGTTGGACCAAACTGCACACATTGTGAAACATTTCATTGCAATCAGTTCAGTAGTTTAGGAGTTCATCGCGGACAAACAATGTGACACGTAATTTTTATATATAAAGATTATAGCGACAAACTAGTCAATAGTCTGTCTAGCTGACGGTAAATTGTTCCTGGAGCCTGTAATCACCTGCAATCAACTTTAAAGAAATAAAGAACACAAACAGTAAGACTTCTTCAAATGTGTTGTGGTTATAATCACTGGCTCTCTTACCTTTCAAGTCTTAATACAACAAGGACTGTTTACGTTAAGCTTGGTGTTAAAAACAGACTCCTAAGTAAATAGAAGATCTACTATTCTTATTTACAATTATCGTTAGTCTATTAAAGTCCTCTGCTGAACACAGGCCTCCCCCATAGATTGCCTCATAGGTGGGATAGTTGTAATGTTACTGTTGATTTGAAAATTTCACCTCCCAATGGGTCATGTGCTCCTGGTAGCAGCCTATTAAGTCCACTGCTGAACATAGGCCTGCCCCATAGATTGCGTAATAGCGGAGATAATTGCCATAGTTGCCACGCTTGGAAAACGGGTTGGCAACGGCAGTTTATTTTAGTTTTGGTCGTTATTAGGAAGACGCTGCTGCCCATCTCATTTGTTTCGCTCTGTCGCCTTTTACGATTCCCACGGGATGATAATTGGTACTGGGTATTCTTACACCGCCACTACACGACATTCTTATTTTAGTGTACTTATATGTATAAAACAAAATAGTTATAATTTATAGCTCCAGTTCAAGACCGTCAACACGCACCGGAGCAGAGCGACGGAAAATTTTGCTAATTAAATTTAAATTGCTATTGTAAATTCTCAAAAAAATAAACACAAAAAATAAATTTATTACGTAATTTTTTTTTCCAATAAAATATAAAATTAAATATTAAAGAATTTGCGCAAAGTAACAGATGATTCTATTAATATATCATAGTTTGGTTAGTTAATTAGTTAGTTTGAACGAAAGAGTATACTTTCTTATTATTACCGAATAATATAACCTTCAAGAAAAGATGTAAAAAGTAAAAAGGGCCTCCGGCCACCTGCACTCACCAAGCGAAACGCAGAGGTAAACCTCTACTTCACGCTGGTTTTCTGTGAGGTCGTGGTACCACCCCGGTTCGAGCCGGCCCATCCGTGCGACAGCAAAAACTGCCGCGTAGCTCTACCACTGTTAAATGCATGATTTAGATCTGTCCGTTCTACGATACTGCAATGAGGCGACAGCGCCACCATAGCGCAAACACCACTAAATATTACATGACTTTAAATGAATGATTTATGAATTGCATAGCTGAAAACCTAGGTCATCGATTTTTAAGTGGGCGCTCGCCCTCCTGGGAAAGTGTGACGTCATTTAACGAGGTCGCGGGTGGCGGAATACTGTTATATATAGCAACTTTATTTACCATTCTCAAGCATATACGCGAAGGAAGGCGTTTTCAGTTATACATAGTAAAAATTAGATTTTTTCTTACTTTCTTTTGCGTGGACAAGTGTCAAAAAATTAAGCTTTTAATAATAAAAAGTAAAAAACGGACTTAGAAGTACTAAAGAGGATAAATTAATTAGCACAACAATTTTGTCAAACGCAAAATATTGTATTTTTGCGTGCTCTATACATTCTTTACAGCAAAGTACTACTATTTATTTACTGAAAATATAGTATAACTTCTTTTAACTATTATGTATTCTGTGGTATAACAACAGCGCCACCTACCGGGACCAATTTTATTTTATAGGATAGGGTGACAAACGAGCACACAGTTCACCTGATGATAAGTGGTTGCTGTGACACAAAGACATCTACATCTATCCTCAATAAAAATTCAAAATGCAGATGCGTTGTCACCCATGAGGATTAAGATGGAATGCCTCTTCTCCAATAAAAAGGGTCTCTGGTCCTCTACACTCACCGCGTTGAGCTGCTATTTTACGCTGGTAATCTGTGAGAGCGTGGTCCGTCCCCGGTCGAGCCGACCCATTCGTGCTACAACTATACAATTAATATGCAGCATAGCTCTACCACGTGTAGAAATTGTGAATCGAAACCATTCTTGAATAAACTTAATTACACACACAAAATTTCATCAAATCGCTCCAGCTGTTTAAGAGTTCAGTCACATACACACGGACAGATATAAATGAAGATTCTACATCGTTGAAGTACGATGGGCAACCTTAGTCTACCCAACCTCTTTAATTTTTCTTGCGAATCTCTCCATCCATCCATTGCAGCCTAAAAGCCCACAGCTGAACGTAGGCCCAAACACACGAACTTCACATATCTTCAAAATACATTTTTTTAATTTCTCAGACACGGTTGCCTCACGATGTTTTCCAGCACTAAAAACTGTAATTAACAAATTGCAGTGGTGCCGGCGGGGATCAAACCGGGTCGCTCGCGTACTATGATACTTTCAGTGAGCGTTTAGCCCCTGAACTACCACGGCTCGGCGCGTTCGTATTCTGATTAAAATATGGAATTGAGACTATCGCTATATGTTGACTCCTGAATCGGCGGAACTTTCCAAACACGTAATATAGTTTGCATATACGTCAGTGCATTCCCTATATGCTATCTGACGTCACGTTCTAGCCAATATATTACATATCTCATACGTCGACCATATCGACAACCATTCGCTTAGTTAACGCAAGTACAAACACAAGTTTATTGGTTTATTTTATTTCTCTGTCTCTCTGAAACAACTTGTGACGTTTATTGGGTAAGATTTATTTGTTTTTAATTATATTAACAGGGAAATGCGGGTGGTCTTTTCTCCATACAAACGCTCACGCCTGTTTTCTTTCTGGTTTATGACCTTATAGCAATGAGTTTTTACAGTAAAATAAAATGTCAACCTCTTCTATGTAGAGAGCCAAACCTCGAATTATGCCTTTTTACTTGGGCTATTCAGTCGGTTGCAATTGTCCATAACTGAACGCTCGCAGAGTGAAAGCGATAGTTTCTTCAAATACCTAATTTTCAGTATTTTAACTTCAAAAAAGAAGGAGGTACTCAATTAACTGTATTTTTTATATGTTACCTCAAAACTTTCTTAGGTCAACCAATTTTGATAATTCTTTTTTTATTTGAAAGCTGGTGCTTCTCTTATGGTCCCATATAAATTTGATCAAAATCTGGCCAGTAGTTTTGAGTTATCTTTAATAATGCGTACTTAATGTAGAATAATAATCCTCCGTTCACCAGATGTCGCTAGTTGACACTAGGTGTAGTTTTTTTGTTACACAATGTCATTTAATTGAGAAGTTAGTTTTAAATAAGTTTATCACTTTCTAGAGTATTATATTAATACACAAAACAGCGCCTCACTGGCTTTATCTTTAATTTTATGCACATTAATAACTCTTTTTTTTATTTCTTACATTTACGCGAATACACGTTAAATGAAACTTAATTTTATGGATTTTATCGCGTTTAATTTTTAATCGGAACGTCGAACAATTATTCAGTCTCCCCCCTCCCCTCTCCCATTGTATCCATGGTTGCTATAAAAATCCGTAAAATTAGTTTCATTTAATTGGATGGCGTGATTTTTAGGCCTTAATAATTTTTGACAGATCCATAACACATCATTATGGCGCGGTGACAACGCCGCGTCACGTCAAAACCATTGCAATTGTAACAGCTCACTCATGGTCTGTTTTGTCCGCAGTTCTGGGAGATCATTTCTGAGGAGCACGGCATCGACCCCACTGGCGTGTACCGCGGCACCAGCGACCTGCAGCTCGAGCGGATATCCGTCTACTACAATGAGGCCTCTGGTTAGTATACCCAAATAAACAGCAGAAGAATCGAAGCTCTAGTCTGTGAACTCTAGACAGAGAACAGGATCGCCCCCATCACTACATCAGATTTGATAGACCACAAATCCTCGCTAAAAACCACAGATTCCTTCGTAGGATGATGCACGAGGATATTAAAATCAAAAAAGCATCCTAATTTCAGCACATAATACCTGTCGTAGAATGGCTGGGGCTACCATCTACTTGGGATCCTATAATTAATAAAATTAAATCCCAGCCTCAGCATACAACTGCAAGACGTCAAGATAAAAAATACTGTAACCTCAAGGTAGCCGTGGTGAACTATGACATTGGGACGTGTAACACCTCAGTCCCATAACGAGAATTTTGCCATAGTTGCCACGCTTGGTAGGTGGGTTGGCAGCCGCCGTTTTTTATTATTTTGAGTTGTTGTCAGGAAAATGCCGCAGCCCATCTTCTGTTTTAGTTTCCCTCTGCCGCCTTTTATGAAACCCACGGGACGTTTAGGGGTAGTGGATATTTTAACATCGCCACTACACGCCTACCGTGATGTCACATTAAATATTACTAGCTTTTGCCCGCGGCTTCGTCCGCGAAGGTTGGACGCGATAAAATTCATAAAATTGGTTTTGTTCAGTGTTAGTATTCGCGTTTTTTTGATGCTTATTTTCTGTGTCAACCTTGATGGTAAGTGGAAGTTGTGATCCATAGACATCTGCATTTATCCTCGTTTAGGAATCATAATGCAGATGCGTTGTCACCCCTGAGTACTAAGATAGAATGCCTCGTTTCCAGTAAAAAGTCTCCCGTTCTCTACACTTACAATACGAAATATTGCAGCATTAAGCTGCAATTTTACGCTGGTGTTCTGTAAGAGCGTGGTCCTACCCCGGTCGAGCCGATCCATTCATGCTACAACAAAAGTCAGTAAACATACGAAATCATTACGTGATCATCAATTTACCATTATGGTTTAAACCATTCGAGATCCCAAAGTTCACCTCCCGACCTCCCCAAACGCAACAATTGCCCGGGTGTCCCATCGCTGTAATTAAGGCGAACAAACCGACAGATCTTAAGTACCCGTTATGGGGTCGATAACCCCGCGGCTGCCATTTAAATCCAAGATTAAGGCAATTGACTCTAGTTCTGTTATACACGACGGTACGAATGAGAGTAGAAATTAATTTTGAGCGCTAGGTAATTATGCTGGTACAGTTTGTCCTACATGTTACGTCCATTGGCACCGAAAAAGCCTATTCTTCCATGCTGTTACGTACGTGGTAGAGTCATGCTTATTTTCTGCTGACTTCCAAAAAGGATCCGGTACTCGATTCGACTGAATTTTTTTTTATGTGCGTTACCTCGTAACTTTTTACTGGGTGAACTGATTTCGATGATTCTTTTTTATTTCAGAGCTGGTGCTTCACACGTGGTCCCATATAAATTTGATCAAGGTATGACCAATAGTTTTTCGAGTTATTCTTAATAATTTATATTGAAGTAGGTTGTGAAAATTTTTAATTTTAAATTATATCGGTAAATTCTTAGTCGTCAGGGGGTGACAACACATACATTTTAATTCATAATCAATGATATAGTATATAGGTGTCTGTGGGTTACACCACACATCTACTTTCCATCAATAGGAATATGCGCTCGTTTGTCATCCTTATTCCAAATAATTTAAAGTTAAAAAATTTGTACAGCCGACTTCAATATAAGTTATTAAGAATAACTCAAAAACGATTGCTCTGACCTCGATCAATATTCATATGGAACCACATGTGAAGCACCAGCTTTCAAATGAAAAAAGAATCATTGAAATCCGTTCACCCAGTAAAAAGTTATAATGTAACACACATTAAAAAAAAGCATACAGTCGAATTGAGTACCGGCTCCTTTTTGAAGTCTGCGTTGTCAGCCGTGCGGACTAAGATAGAATGCCTCTTTTCCACTAAAAAAGGGTCTCCGGTTCTCTATACTCACCATACGAAACACAACATCATTAAGCTGATATTTTACGCTGGTATTCTATGAGAGCATTACGTATTTATCTATCAGAGAAACTCCTTGCATAGCTCTTTGCTGTTCCCAATGCTCGCTGATTGATTTTGACATTGTGGAGTGGCTTTATTTAAATGGAGAATGCACTGGTTGAAGACCTTTGTCTTTATACTTTGTGGTTGGTTTACTATACGGGAAAACCTGTCAAGAGCTTCCTTAATGCTACCCAGCCTGACTTAATCCTCCTATCAGATTCCTCAAACCCGAAGAAGTCCACTGCTGGACATAGGACCAAGTGTGGATAGATATAGTTGACTGTGGGCCACAGCATCCAGGTAGACTGTTTGTCAAACTTATTCTATAAAAAAATCTATCCACGAAAGCACCGACCGAAGCTGTAATTGTATTAAATCGTCTATTCACGACACAATAACTGGCAATTTGATATCACTAAGCCGAGTTCTGCAGCTACTTACATTACCCCCAATAATAAAAATGCGACCGACGGACAGACAGTGAAATTATGCATAATAACCGCGAAATAACAGTACTCGCGGCCAGCGAAGCGTGCCGTGCAATGACCGCAGAGTTACGATAGGTTCTAGATCTGCTACGATTTCGGCTGCAAGTATTTCCGAAACGGAAGTAATGTGCTGTGGAATTATAAACGTTAAAATCTACACTGGTTTAAAAAATGACCCTTACAGAGGATCTTTTTTTATTTTTTTTATTCATAGATTTTTTTTATAGGATAGGTTGACAAACCAGCACACAGTCCACCTGACGGTAAGTGGTTGCTGTGGCCCATAGACATCTACGTTTATCCTCGTTTGCGAATCAAAATTCAGATGCGTTGTCACCAGTAAGGACTAATATGGAATGCCTCTTTTCCAGTAAAAAGGGACTCGGGTTCTCTACACTCACCATACGAAACACAGCAGTGTAATGATTACGCTATTTGACGCTGGTATGCTGTGAGAGCGTGGTCCTTCCCCGGTCGAGCCGACCCATTCATATTACAACTATCTACTAATATAGCTGCAGCATGTAGAGGCATGCTTGGCTACGTACAAAGGGCTTTGTGGCTGATGCGATTATGCCGCCCTGGTAGTTACAAAAAAATCTTAAATATAAATTACTAACAAATAAACTTACTTGCTAGTTACTTAATCTCTTATTATACAACAAATACAGTTTTTTGTCATCCATAGGATCTTGTCACGGTTGCCACGCTTGGCAGGCAGGTTGGCAACCGCGGTTTTTTATTATTTTGAGTTGTAATCAGGAAAATGCCGCTGTCCGTCTGTTTCAATAGAATAATTTTTATTCAATATAGATTACAGGAAATCTTATTGAAAGTAATTTAAGCTTTGCCATTACTAATTAGGGACTGGAAGCCGAATGACATCGGACGGTCAAAACTAGACATGTTTAAAGCTCTCATGAACTGCTTCAAATCACACGACCCTTTCGAAAGGTTTAATCCACACCGGTTCGGAGAACCTTCTCAGAGAAGAATAGGCAAGAAACCCTTTAATTAAATTCTTTTTTTAAATTATTTACTAGCGATCCATCCCGGCTTCGCATGGATGATTTATGGATCTCGACAATAGCGCTATCTACCAATCTTGAATTTAAACCATACTCGAATCAACTTAATCAAAATTTCACCAAAATCGGTCAAGTCGTTTAGGAGAAGTTCAGACATATACGTACGGACAGAAGAATTTTGTATATAATTATACATACCTTCCTCTTGAACCATTTTGTCTATTTATGAAAACCGCATCCAAATCCGTTGCGTAGTTTGAAAGATCTAAGCGTACAGACGGCGGGAAGCGACTTTGTTTTATACTAGATAGAGATAGAGATTACTTTGTGCGTATGTTCGTGATTCTTCTCTTCCTAAACGGTTTGACCAATTTGATGAATTTTTTATGAGGTACTTATGGATACCTGGATGGTTATTAGCTATGGTTGGACTGAGTAGGCGGCGATGTTGTCGTGCGAAGTCGACGCGGGATCACTTCTATAAATAATAAATTCAATATCGCTCCACACCGCCATTAATATTCGAGATTTAAGAGTTATTGTGAAGCTCCTCTTAAATAATCTTAATTCGATCAATAGCAGAAACAAATAAGATAACAAGGTCGATAACCGTATTTTGTCTGTAGTCAGTTCGAAATTGTTATTGTTCTGTTACGTTCATAGAGAGATAAAAATGTACGAAGTTAATAAAATTTTATCTACATAGCAAACGTCTTCTTTAATTTCCGCTGTGAACAAGGAACTCTTTTATAGTTCCGTCCATTTATCCAATCCGTGTCACAGTTGGGTAGGGCTGCCAACTCTACTATATTATACTATTCAAAAATAAGTCAATCATTTGGTTTTTTGTCAAGAAATTCTCAATTTGTCAGGAAGTTGGCGGTATTTCAACCGCGTACCTCGAAGAGCACGTTAAGACGTTGGTCTTGCTACTACTTCTCTACTATATTATACTATTCAAAAATAAGTCAATCATTTGGTTTTTTTGTTAAGAAATTCTCAATTTGTCAGGAAGTTGGCGGTATTTCAACCGCGTACCTCGAAGAGCACGTTAAGACGTTGGTCTTGCTACTACTTCTCTACTATATTATACTATTCAAAAATAAGTCAATCATTTGGTTTTTTTGTCAAGAAATTCTCAATTTGTCAGGAAGTTGGCGGTATTTCAACCGCGTACCTCGAAGAGCACGTTAAGACGTTGGTCTTGCGCTTGATCTCTCTATGGTCGTGTCGTTTCACATAGGACTATGAGAGTGAGGGAATAGAGAGTGCAGCTGATTAGTCCTGTCCTGCGCACGTGGCTAGTCTCCGTGGAGGCCGACTGCCGTGACCGAAATTCGGTCTGGAGGACATTATTGCTCCAAGATTATGGTTCTAGCCATTGATTCTAATTTGTCACTGTTGGGTAGGGCTGCCAACAGTTAAAACTTGATTAGGTGTTACTGACACTTCAGCACCCCCTGCCCCGCCGTTACCATGGTCGCCACCGTAGCCAGGAATAGCGGGGCCGCCGGGGACTGGGGGCCGTCTCTTAGTAACTTTATCCATTTGGGGGGTATTTGCCATAGTTGCCACGCTTGGCGAGTGGATTGGCAACCGCAGTTTTTTTATTGTATGTTTGTTGTTATCAGGAAGATGCTGCTGCCCATCTCCTGCCTGTTTCCCTTTGTCGCCTTTTACCACGGGAAGATATGGGGTAGTGGTATTCTTAACCGTCACTACACGGCGACACTTCAGTGGTAGTGGCGGTATGAGAATATCCACTACCGCATTCGTCAAGTGGGTGTCGTAAGGAAACAGGAGATAGAAGATCTTGGGATTGGACTTGGGACTCCAGCAACACATTGCCGATAACAACCTCATAATAATAAAAACTGCGGTTGTCAACCCTCTTGCCAAGCGTCGTAACTATGGCAAATATCCCCCTATGAGGCAATCCATGGGGGAGGCCTATGTTCAGCATTGGACTTTAATAGGCTGTAACGATAACGACGTGTACCATCGTTGTATATGACCAATCAAAAAACTGTTCCCACAAGGGTTGCCGGTTCCTAAAATCGCCATAAGAAACAGCACCATTAAATTGCTATTTTTCGCTGTGAGAGAGGCTCTTCCACGTTAAATTTCAGCGTTCAATTAAACGTTCGCTTAAACATCCTCGAATATAGGAACTGGAATGTACATCTATCGCCTTCTAATGATACTATCTCTTGTCCACAGTTGCGACGGCGGAGAGCGGCGGAAAATATGTGCCAAGGGCCATCCTCCTCGACCTCGAACCGGGCACTATGGACGCCGTGCGTTCAGGTGCCTACGGCCAGCTCTTCCGCCCGGATAACTTCGTGTTCGGTCAATCCGGCGCCGGCAACAACTGGGCCAAGGGACACTACACGGAAGGCGCCGAGCTGGTAGACGCCGTCCTCGACGTCGTGCGCAAGGAGTGCGAGAACTGCGACTGTCTCCAGGGCTTCCAGCTCACGCACTCCCTCGGCGGCGGCACAGGTTCCGGAATGGGCACACTCCTCATCTCCAAGATCAGAGAGGAATACCCTGACAGAATTATGAACACGTACTCAGTTGTGCCCTCACCCAAGGTGTCCGACACCGTGGTCGAACCGTACAACGCGGTGCTATCCATCCATCAGCTAGTCGAAAACACCGACGAGACCTACTGCATAGACAACGAAGCTCTCTACGATATCTGCTACAGGACCCTCAAAGTGCCCAATCCGACCTACGGCGACCTAAACCATCTAGTTTCGCTCACAATGTCTGGCGTTACCACCTGCCTGAGGTTCCCCGGTCAACTAAATGCGGATCTCCGCAAACTGGCCGTGAACATGGTACCTTTCCCGCGTCTCCACTTCTTCATGCCCGGATTCGCGCCGTTGACGTCCCGCGGCAGCCAGCAGTACCGCGCCCTCACAGTCCCCGAGCTGACCCAACAGATGTTCGACGCCAAGAACATGATGGCAGCGTGCGATCCTCGCCACGGCCGCTACCTTACCGTCGCCGCCATCTTCCGTGGCCGCATGTCGATGAAGGAAGTCGACGAACAAATGCTCTCCATTCAGAACAAGAACAGCAGCTTCTTCGTCGAATGGATCCCTAACAACGTGAAGACAGCCGTGTGCGATATTCCACCAAAGGGTCTGAAAATGTCATCTACCTTCATCGGCAACACCACAGCCATCCAAGAGCTGTTCAAAAGGATATCAGAACAGTTCTCGGCCATGTTCAGGCGCAAGGCTTTCTTGCATTGGTACACTGGCGAGGGTATGGACGAGATGGAGTTCAACGAAGCGGAGAGCAACGTTAACGATCTCGTGTCCGAATACCAGCAGTACCAGGAGGCCACGGCTGAGGACGACACGGAATTCGACCAGGAGGACATGGAAGAACTGGCGCAAGACGAGCACCACGACTGAACACTGATAGCATAATGAATTTCAGCTCATTTACTTTTATATATCTTCAACGAAATTAGAGGCTAAGTTGTCCAAATCTCAAATAAATTCTGGACCCTTGAGCCGGACACTGTGATGCGTCAATCGATATTTTGACGTGTCGTCAAAGTGCTAAAAATGGAAAGTAAAAAAAAATATATTTTCAAATATGATAGTATTATTCGAGGTCTGTTCTTTTATAAGATAAAAATCGCTATGGAACGTACCAATCGCTGCATTTCCTAGTTTTAAGTTACTATAACGTCTTGTATTCTTTTATATAATAATTTATAATTAAATGTTTTTAACAATTGCGTTTTTCATTTATTTGTGTATGGGATGTAATGCAAAAACAATATAAATACCTTTCCCGAATGTCCCTTGACTGTAGAATGGCGTAATATATTTACACAAAAAGAATTGAAGCTAGTAATGAGAAACAGCATTATTATGCTCAACATATGCTCTAAAATCAAGACAATGAAACAGAACAGAAACTTTTTTATTCAATATAGATTATAAATAATACTTATTGAAAGTCACTCTTTGGTTAATTTACCACTGGTTAGAAAAAAAACCTCTGTCCTGGGAAGAACCAGCAAGAAACCCAGCGGGACGTTTTTTTTAAAATAACAGCTTACAATCATGTATGTTACACAAGTTAACAACACAACAAATTAGAAATATCTTGGTTAATAGAATGATGTGTTGTAACCCCCAAGTACTAAAATGCCTCATACCACCTTACTTTCTATTAGCCTATTTGATTCGTTGGTCTAGTGATCCTTAAATAACGCGGGTCCTGATCATGAGGTCCCGGGTTTGAATTCAGATTCGTGCTAAAATCAGTAATTAGGTTTTTCTCAATAAATACTCAGTAGCAACCTACCGAGGAGTTAAGAAGTTGTCGGTATTAAACCCCCGTGCCTTGGAAAGCACATAAAGTATTTCATCCTACGCCTGACCTCGGATAAGCGTCCCGACGGTCTGTGAGAGTCACACTTAAAGTGAGGTGTAATATCTGACAGTTTTCTTCCTCGTAGAACTTCTGTGTGGAATTGTTTACCACTGGCGATTTTTCGGACCAATACGACTTAGGGACCTTCAAGAAAAGAGCTTACACCTTTCTAAAAGGCCGGCAATGCACCTGCAATTCCCCTGGTGTTGCGGTTGTTCATGGACGGCGGTAGTCACCATCAGGTGAACCGCGTGCTCGTTTGCCCGCTCTTCTATAAAAAAAAAACAGATTTCATAGCGGGGAAGTTAATTTGTTCGGAAAATGTAAAGGTTAATGGTTCTTTCTGTACTATTAGCTATATTATATATTAATAAGAATAAAAATAAAAACCAAATCACTGATGTTCATAAAAGTAGAATTTTTTTATTAAAAACTTCTCAATTAAATAACATTGTGTAACAAAAAAGTTTACATCAGTGTGAACTTGCGACATCTGGTGAGCATAAAATTATTAGCCCTCATTGGGCACTATAAACTAGTCCTGCGCAGATGGCTAGCCATCTGTTGAGCCTCCTCTCTTTTGAGACTGTTCGCCATTACCAAAATTGGTCTGAAGGACATATTATTATAATTTAGAATATATTAAAATTAAACGTTATCTAAATTAATCTTTCTGAGGACTCCCTGATGAACGCGTTCGAAAATGCAAAGGGATGAAACATCTCTTCGCAGTGCCAGTGATTCGAGTCCCAAAAAAACTCTGTTGTCAAAAATTCGTGCCACTTTTCGATCGATGCGGTCAAGTAGAGCTGGCAATGGGGTGCTGAGAATGTGGATGAGAACAGTATTTCATGTGAAGCCGAACTTGCTCCATGTAAAAAGTAGTAAGCGGTGTGCCGGCATAAAATATTGTCCTGCTCTGAGCAGGCTGAGTTTTTTAGAGGCTTATTTATAGAATAAGGGTGACAAACGAGCAGTCTCCTTGATGACAAGTGAATGCTTTAGCCCATAGACATCTACATCTATCCTCAATTACGAATTAAAACTCAGATGTGTTGGTACCCCTGAGGACATGATAGATTGCCTCGTCTGGATACGTGAAAATTAGCTTTCTACTTTTTATGCTAATCCAAGCTTTAATCATATACTAGCGATGCGCCCTAGCGTCGCACGGATTATTTTTGTACTTCGACAATAACGCCACCTACCGAGTCCAGTTGCGAATCTAAACCATTCTGGAATCAACTTAATCACACAAAATTTTATCAAAAATCGTCTATTTTTCATGAGGAGTTCAGTCACATTTATTTTATAGAATAAGGGTGACAAACGATAGCACACAGTCCACCTGATGATAAATAGATGCTTTGGCCGTAGACATCTACATCTATCTTCGATCATGAATCAAAATGCAGATGCGTTGTCACCCGTGAGGACTAAGATGGAATGCCTCGTTTCCAGAAAAAAAGGTTTCCGGTTCTCTACACTCACCATACGAAACACAGCAGCGTTAAACGGCTATTTTACGCTGGTATTTTGTGAGACCGTGGTCTTTCCCCGGTCGAGCTGAACCATTTGTGCTTTTTTTTTATAGGAGAGGGGGCAAACGAGCATGCGGCTCACCTGATGGTAAGTGACTACCGCCGCCCATGAACAACTGCAACACCAGGAGAGTTGCAGATGCATTGCCGCCCTTTTAAAAAGGAGTAGGCTCTTTTCTTGAAGGTCCCTAAGTCGTATCGGTGAGGAAAAATCGCTGGTGGTAATCGATTCCACAAGGAAGTTGTGCGAGGGAGAAAACCTCTTCTAAAACGCACAGTGGTGGACCGCCAATCATCCAGATGGTATGGATGGTATCGCGAGTTTTATCGCGATGTACGATGGTGAAATTGACCCCAGCCTGAGACTATGTTCAACAAAGTCTCGACTTCAAACACAAATTTGTTCCGGTACTCGGCGACGTTTTCCCGAGAAATATTGGCACGGCCGGTGTATAGAGCATCACCAGTGCTGTCGTCTGCATAGCAATGAATCTTACTGGTTTGCAACATATCATTGATATCCAGAAGAAACATTGTTGGTGATACAGCACGCAGCCTTGTGGAACACCAGCGTTAATGGGCTACAAGCCCATCGGAGCATACATCGTCTACTACGACCTTGGTACTCCGATCTGCAAGAAGAAAACTGGTGATCCATTTGCACAATTTCTCTGGAAACCCATAGGAAGGTAGCTTCGTGCCAAACCCGATCGAAGGCCTTCGCTATGTCCAAACTAACGACCAACGCCTCCCCCTTGAACTCCACTGCCTTTGCCAATCTATGAATTAGGTAACCTAGAAGATCACTAGCTGAGCGACCTCGACGGAAACCGTACTGGCGGTCACTAATCAGCTGGTGATCCTCAAGATCGGTATCTTACCTATCTCTACCGCATGAGCTGACAGTTAATAATGGTTTCCATTACTTTGGATAATAAGGAGGTGATAGCGATAGCCCTGTAGTTGGACGGGCCTTTTTAGGGTGCATCGGGTGCACCAAAGCTGTCTTTCATGAGTTCAGGACGACGCCTAGGGAGTAGGAGTACCGGAAAAGACGCGTTAAAACCGGTGCCAACTCCTGAGCACACGTCTTCAACACAATAGGTGGGACAGCATCAGGCCCACTCGACTTGTTGACGTCCAAGGAGAGGAGTGCTTTACGCACCGAGCGCTGTGTAAATAGCACTTCCTGAATGGAGCACTCACACCGCGGGATGGTCGGCGGTGTGTTCCGCCCCGTCATCTAGAATCGAGTTGGAAGCAAAAAGAGAGCCTAGTAGATCGGCTTTCTCCTTTGCGTCATGGGCCAGTGAGTCGTCCACCCTGTGCAGGGATGGTAGATATGACTGATAGTTCTCTTGGACAGCCTTGGCGAGAGAGCAAAATGCACGTGTTCCCGAAGGGAGGCGAACTAGTTTCTGGCCAATTCTGCCGATGTGCTCTGACTTTGCCTTGGCAACGACACTTTTGAAGGACCTGGAGGCGGAATTATACTTCTTTTTAAGAGCACTGGTGTTTACATCCCGGGACGTTGATGCGTTAGCCCAGGCCCGGTAGCACTCCTGCTTATAGCGTGATGCTATTTTACAGGAGCGACCAAACCATGGCTGAGAGCCTCCGATAGGCACCACAGATGACGGAATAAATACTTCCATTCCCTGCAGTACCACATCAGCGACAGAATCAGTAACAAGGTTAGGATCATCCGGCGAGAAGCAAACCCGCACCCAAGGGGATAGGTTCATAGATAAGAGTGTATGGTAGGATGCAAAAAAACACCGCATCCCGTCCCAATCGCCCGACCTATAGTGCCAAACACGGCGGCAAGCTGCAGATTGCAACTGCGATGGGAGCGTGAGTGGCACGATAATCCGGATCAGACAATGGTCCGAAGAGCCCAGAGAATCGACGGAGAACTGATGAGAGGTCAGCAGAAGGTCCAACATGGAAGGTACATGATCCTCCACATCTGGGATCCGCGTAGGCGAAGTAACCAGTTGTGTCAGAGCATACGCCAAGACAAAGTCATAAACAGATCTACCCGCATGATCGCTTAAACGGGAACCTAGCCATTCAGCATGGTGGGCGTTAAAATCACCAAGCAATAAGATCTCTGCGAATGGGACCTGTTGTAGCACGAAGTCTGCAGCCATTTGGACGTGGTCGATGAGCCCTTTGGAAATGCTACTACTAATATAGATGCAGCTTGGCTCTACCACGTACATAATATATACACGGACAGGAAGAATTATATATAAAGCCAAGCAACAATATACAATATAAATAAAACAAATTATAATAGACAAATATTTTATTCTCTGTTTAAACTGACGCATAACTTGGTTCTAAAGTATATTATACAACTTACTATATATACAATGTCTGAACACAATTCATAAAACCATGGAAATAGTAATATAAAATGAAAATATACAAGTTCAGTGCAAGACCTTATCAATAAGACAAGTTCTGCGACGACATGTTACTTTATGGTTTAAAGACTGTAATTACCTAAGCAAAATCACCGTCTCAGTTAATTAGAAAAATGAAAAAAAAAATTGTTTGTGGCCAACTTCAGCGGGAATGGAGCCATTCAAGTATTACGTTAAAATATAGGATATTTTATTTAATAGAACAAAATAATTTATATCGTTTTTAAGTTAAATGTAATATTTAAATACAATGATAATAATTTTGCTTGAATTAATATTAAATTAATAAACCTAAACTGATATAAATTAAAAATTACTAATATTCTGTTTACATAACACTTGAATAGCTCTAAGAAATTCGATTATTTTTCATTTAATAAGCAGTCTCATTCATAAGGTCTCCACACCGGTAAACAGTTTATTGTCTTCAAAAGTTGTCATCACATTGTGATTGGAAACAATAAATGCATTATGGCAGCTTTCATACACGTAACAAACCTACAAACTATACAATTATATATACACGAGTGCTGGGTCAACAAGTGTTAAGAGATTCCAATAACAAATAGTTTCTAAATTTTATAATTTTAACTGGACGTACCAGCAACACTTCAATCTAGTTATGTCTACAGTTATTTCTTCTAATCTAATTGTATTATATATTGATATTTAGTTTAGTCATTAAAATACAATCAAAAAGTTTCAGTATTATATACTTCAATTTCTAACCTAAAAAGGCATTTAAGCAAGGGAGGCGAATATTGCTAGACAGTAAGTATATACAATACAGTATGTAACAAATAACCCGGTGGTCATTTTAGAGAAGTGTAAATAATTACGTCGCATGTTTCCATCAAAAAACTTCTGTTGTCTAGCAGAATAACAAGATGATGTAGGGCAACAGCTAAAGAAAACACATTAACTTAACTAAAATAATATTTTGCCCAATTTCGGGCGAGTGCATTTCAGCGCAAGACTTGTAAAAAACATTATACAAAAAAATAGTAGAACAGTCAGTCAGTACTTACTACGGACTAGCGCTTTTAACCACGTTTTTATTAACTTGTGCACATGTCTGTTCGGGTGGAATTTGGTAATTGATTTCAAAGTACATTACAGATAAGCCAGAGACTAATTTTGAATATAGCTCAGAATCATATAAGAATATGAAAAAAAGTGGTATATTAAAATTTTCTATACATAAAATTGTTTTGTTTTAAAACAATTATCAACTTATATAATACCCAGTTAAAAATTAGTATATCATTTAATAATAAATTATGCAAACACCAAAAAATTATAGAGTACAAAACATCTAGCAATATTTATCTCCACAAGCACAAATATATTATTTATTAGACCTGAACGACTCCCACCAGTTACACAATCATACCGCTGTGTATGCCTTGAAAAGACAGATCAGCCTATAACAATGTCCATACATTGTCTATTATACACTTTAGTATGTACAAAATCATTCTTAACATTACAATACAATACTAATCGGCACTTTCATTTGTAAGTTATTAGAGTTTATAACAGTTTATATGTATAAATCTACAACAATTATATGCCCGACACTACGGATTATGATCTCTAATATTTTGAAACACATGGGCCCTCTTGACATGGTAATTACCAAACTCAGTATTGTATACCAGCATAAAATGGCAGCATAATGCTGCTGTCATGATATGACTGATAAATATTTTTAGTCACACCTCTGTTCCTTATGATCATTGAATAGAATGTACGGAGGACTTAATTACCTAAAGAAATCCACTTCCAGTAAACCATTAGGCTAAATAAAATAAACAAAGATCTTATACATTTTTCTTTAGAACAAGGGTGACAAACAAGCAACCAGTCAACCTGATGGTAAGTGGATGCTGTGGTCCATACACATCTACATTTATCCTCAATTAAGAATCAAAATGCATTGTCACCCATGAGGACTACGGAATACCTCGTTTTCAGTAAAAAAAAGTCTCTGGTTTTCTTCACTCACCATACGAAACACAGCAGCATTAAGCTGCAATTTTATGCTGGTATTCTGTGAGAGTGTGGTCCTACACTGGTTGAGCTGACCCATTCGTGCTACAACCACAATAAAGCTGCAACGTGACTCTACAGAATAATTATTTAGGGAAATAATCAATGGATGAGACACATCCCTGTGTGTGAAGAGATACATTGAACAAGTTTTATTAATTGCGTAGTTATCCTAAACAAAATGGCGGAACTTGACATATAAATGCTATTTGGTGTTACATTATTTTATAAAGTAACTTTATTTTCAACAAGATGTAAATCGGAGTCATATTTTCTGAACGTACACATTGTATATACAATACATTTACGACACATTATGCAACATTAACGATATCCCAGATATAAAGATTAGTAATACTAAAGTAAACTGTAAAATTAAAGATTAAAGCTTAAAATATTTTTAATAACTAACAAGCTATAAATACGAAGTAAACATGTTTATTATTTGCAAGTTATTATGAGATTTAAAGTGGTTATTTACTCTGCAGTGGCAGTGTACAAATATCCACTACGCCGTATCATCCTGTAGGAGTTGTATGAGGCAACAGAGGGAAACAAACTAGATGGGCAGTAGTGTGTCCCTAATAACAACTAAATAAATAAATAAAAAATCTTTGTTACCAACCCGCCTGCCAAGCATGGAATCTATGGCAAATATACCCCTTAAGAGTTAATTTATGAGGCATGCCTACATTCAGCAGTGTAGTGAGCTGATCAACTTCTGAGTTTGTCTTAATCATTATACTTATTAATATATATTGGATTCTTTTACCGAGTCACCACAAGGTCCTATACATCATAACCATGAAAGGTTAACGCAAATATAGATACTTCGGATTTACAAACTCTTAATATGCACATCCACGAAGTTTTCTGCCACCAGGGCCGCGCTACTTAAAAGTGAGGTGTTTTGACAGATTTCATAGCAGGGAAGTTAATTTGTTCGGAATATATAAAAATATATAACTGGTTTAGAAATTATGACATTAGTTACCATTATCAAAATAAATGATAATAGCTATTACAACATGACCAAAACAATCTGGCACTTGAAAGGAATGCGGTTTCGGCGCCCGCACCCCGACTCTGTCCCTGCACTTCCCCTAGTGACCAATCACCGTTCCGTGTTCCCTCTCTCATTGTAAAGACATCTTAGCTGTCATACGCCAAATTGTTTTGGTCACATATTACTTTTAATTCTATTGCAGTTGAATTACTAGGCATTGTGTAAATACAACATAACAATACGTCCTATTCTTTAAAGAACTATGAGACATATTCTTGTGCACTCTAGAATCAATTCATTTGAATGGTCTAATGGATTTACAATAATTGTTAGTGAACTCAAATGTAACTATTATATACATATTATGTGGTACATTTTGGATATGAAAAGGGGTTGGGGTCAAAGTTATACGTAATATGATGTAATCATAAGCACAAGTTGCGTTTTTCATATTTCTATGTACAGTTTTTTCCTCAAACAAAAACGCCTGACACGGTGTTATTATTAATCAAAATATCAATTGTTTAACTGTACACAACAATATACTTACCATACACAACACATCCAACACAAAAGTTTTAGTTCGTTTGTCAACACTTCACTAATCAAAAGTTCGTTTTATAACACTACGACTGCCAAGTTTTGTCACTACAATGTCACTTAGTTAAACGGACACTTCATTGTCTTCGTTGAGGTGTATGGAGTTGTCATTTGTAGCAAGCTTTAACAGCGTTTTCTTTATTCGGAGAGCTGGAAGCCTTACAGATGGGTTTTGGTGCCAGCATTCCCTCATCAAGTTTGCCATACCAACCATTGTCTGAAGAGAAAAATAGTTTCAATAAAAAATACAATTATAATTTTTTAAAAGGTCAGCCTACTTTAATTGCAGCCTATATACATAACTAGCTGTTCCCCGCGACTTCGTTCGCGTATAATTTATTACGATCATAGGTTATAATTTTTTTGCAAGGAACCCTAATACTTCTAAATTACTCCCTTTTGACATCAGCTATGTGAAAGTTAAAGTCCCGTCAAAATCAGTACAGCCATTTAGAGATTAGCCGAAACAAACGGACCAACAAAAATTCTAAAAATTGTTTTTTTTATACTGTATAAACTGTCATATGCATTTGGAAAAAGCTGTTATTTTGATATTGCAAACCCACCCCAAGCTCTCATACTATGATATTTACGGAAAATTAAGCCTCTTAACACTGTAGTGACGGTGTTGGAATATCCACTACCCTATTTCGTCCCGTGGGTGTCGTAAGAGGCGACAGAGGTAAATTAAAACAGAATATAATAGATAATAACAATTCAAAATATAAAAAACTGTGGTTGCCACCTACCAAGCGTGGCAACTATTGTAAAATCCTGCTGACGAGGAGGAATATGTTCAGCTGTGGACTTTTATGGGCTGTAATGGTGAAATAATGATGGATGAATAGAACTAAGACCCTCATGTACCACGGCTTATTGCTGCTGGGCTCAGCGATTACCTATCAGAGTTGTTTTGTTTTCTTTTTGGCAGACTTTACATGTCCTCAATATTTTATTCCTTATATATTCCCATGGTCAAGCTCACTTATTCGTGCTGCAGTCTGAACACAGTCGGCAAGTCGGCAACAGTTTTGGCTGGTATGTAACATAATATGACATCTACGTAACTCACTGGATGGGTATCTGTGGGTGGGGCTGGCCTTGCCCCGTCAATGCAGACCACCTTCCGCATGTCGTCGAAGCTGGGATCCTGCGGGACCAGCTCGTGGAACGGAGGACGATATTCCCGGCCATTCGCAGCCCGGCACACCTCCCACAGGACTAACGCAAGTGCGTACAGGTCGCACTTGCGGTACGCGTCGAAACACTGCAGGTTCATGCTGGAATAGAATTGGGCAAGGTCAGACACACTCCACACTTTAGATACATAGCCACAATAACCCCTAATATAATAATGTCCTCCAGACCGAATATCACAGGGCTGGTACTCAGAATTTCTTGACACAAAAACCTAATAACCGATTTTGGTCCGACCCGGGATTCGAACCAGAGACCCCAAGATTAGCAATCGCGTTTACGACCACTATACAACGAGGCAGTCAACCCCTAATATCTTTATATATAAAAATTACGTGTCACGTTGTTTGTCCGCGATGAACTCCTAAACTACTGAACTCATTTCAATGAAATTTTGCACACTCTGTGCAGTTTGGTCCAACTTGAGAGATAGGATAGTTTTTATCCTGATAAGTGACACTCAATATTTTTTTATTACGAATTTAAGAACTTTTTATATGAAGGGTCGTCGAAAAGGGCAGTACAACGTCTGCCTGGCCAACTAGTATACGTGACCACCTGATTAGTACTTATTAGTTATAATAACTACTGGGCATTGTAGGTCCTAATCAGGTGGTCACTTCTAAGCTGTTTCATAAATACATTTTTTATAGTAAAATTTACTTTGCAAAAAAAGTCCCACTCGTTTCGTGCTGGTTCTTCCCGGGATTCCTCCAGGATTCTCCAGGACATGAGTAATTATGTGAACCAGTAGTAAAAGTAAAAAAAGTCTCAATAACAATTACTAATCTATATTAAATAAAAATTATTCTATTTAGGGCCCATTTACTGGTTTACTCCACGCCGTCCGGAATGTAAGTAGGCCCGGCTATTCACGCGCCGCATTGTCACTTAGGTTATTCTGTTTCTTGTATGCATCATACGATTTAAAAAAAAATGAAATTGAAATGTCAAACGACATTACAGTCCACTGCGGCCATTGCAGAGAGTTAAGAGGAGTGCAATTGGGTATAGAGTGCAGCTTATATAGATACAGGCTGTGGCACTCCAGTCTTCAAAGTAACCACTGTACCTGTAGCCTTGCCTTTTCTTTACCACAATGTGGTAACTATAAATAGATAAAGAGGTAATACTCAACACCTTACTTTTATATGTGGTAGAGCCACCCTAGAGCTATGTTACGGTTGTAGCACGAATGGGTCGGCTCGACTAGGGAAGGACCACGCTATCACAGAATACCAGCGTAAAACAGCAGATTAATGCTGCTGTGTTTCGTATGGTGAGTGTAGAGAATCAGATACCCTTTGTAACTGGAAATGAAGCATTCCATCTTAGTCCTTCTGGGTGACATCTGCATTTTGATTCTTATCGAGGATTAATGTAGATGTCTATCGGCGACTGTGTGTTTGTTTGTCACCCTTATTATATAAAGAAGAAAACTTACGTTTGCTCCAGCATCTCGGGGCTCATGTACCGTTTGGTGCCCTGTCTCGGGTTGTGTAGCTGTTGATCTTGGACGTGTTGCCTGGTCACTGCGAGCCCGAAGTCCGCTATACAACACTCTCCATTCACTTTCACCAGGATGTTTTTGCTTTTTATGTCTCGGTGGGCTATCGCTGGCTTACCCTGAAATTGTTGTAATTTGACAATTTACAAAAAATACAATTAAAAACTGTTGCTTTCAACCTTATTCGGGTGATATTTGGCATTGTTAAAACATTGGTGGACATTTATTTACTATAGGTGTTACAGATAGTCCCCTGTGCAGGGCATGTATGGGGGAAGAAGAAACGGCGGCCCATGTGATATTGAAATGTCCGGAGGTCGCTACGTTCAAGGCTAAACATCTCGGCACGCCGAGATCACTCCCCGAAGTTGCATGCAACATCAAAGGACTGTTGAGCTTCTTCGGGGAGATCTCATGGCTCGAATAAGCATATTATTCCTGCCCACACGCAAAATACGCGCATAGACGTAGAGTTGCGGAAATCAGCCCGTCGTAAACTAAACATTGGTGGATTTAACAACCATGGTTTCAATTACCTTAAGTTATCAGAAGGACGCTGACACATGGCAGAGCTATGCTGCAGCTATATTATGGTTGCAGCACGAATGGGTCGGCTCGACCGGGGTAGGACCACACGCTTTCACAAAATACCAGCGTAAAATGACATCTTAAGGTGACACTAGTCGACAATATTTCCATTGATTTCCATACAAATTTCGGAGGGGTTTTACTACGCTGTTTGACAGTGTACATCCAAAGTTAAACATGATATCGTTTTGTCTTATTATTAAATTTGTCTGTACGGAAACAGAATAGTAAAATAAAATGTTATTAAAAAGTTACGGGCTACCAAAGATTCGTTTTTATTGCCAATTTTAACACAACTTTGGGCGTAAATTAGTAATAAAAGAAGTGTAAAATTTCCAAAACAAAGTCGGTACCGACACAGCTTAATTATCGAAGAATTCAATAAATTTTATTCGTAATTGATTTATGCAGTGGTTTTTTCACAAAACCCCTTCTTCCAAAGGCCTTTTCGTATTTTTTTACGCGCGTATGTTACTATGAATTATCGTGCATCTCACTGAATAATGTTTCCCCCGGTGCGGTGCGGGAGGACGACGCGAGTTTTATTCGAAACGAAAAGTTTTGCTATTTTGTAATTTGGACGCCAAAGACAAAAGACAGCATGGAAATTGATATAATTGAAAGAGATGATGCGTTTTGGACGACAGACAATATTGTAAAATTTTTGTCTGTAATATAATATAATTATAAAAGTAAAAAAAATTAAAGTCTATATACGATTACTATATAAAATTGCAACAATTTCATTGGTGCCGACGGGGATCGAACCCGGGATGCTCGCGTAATGTGATACTTACTTACGGCGAGCGCTAACCATCTGAGCTACCACGGCTCTCAATGCAAGTGTTATAAATAAATAAAGAATTACAAAACAGTTTAATTATTTATTAGACGACTCTTGCGGTGGAAAAACAAAGTATATTATGTGGGATTTTCATAGGTACCTACTGTTATTACCTAGATACCTACAACCTACAATACAACAAAATGTCACAAAACGTCACCGCGTCGTGGCCACAAAATTGTAAACTTTAGGTAGGTACGTCAGTACTAAGAAAACAATCTTGATGGGTCACTTGTCTTGATAAAAACCTGTGTTTACGTTTAGTGATATTGAGTATATATAAAAAAGTAAGAAGACAGGTAAGTATTTTTGAAAACAATTTATAGGTAGGCAGAACTAATTACAATTATTATCTAAATATTATAAATGCGAAAGTTTGGATATTTGGATGGACGGATGAATGGATGCATGTTACTCAATCACACCAGAACCGCTGAAGGGACCTGGATGATATTTTGCTCAGAGATAGGTTATAGTCTGGAATTTTATTATTTTTTTATTTTTTGAAAAAACGTTACCCCCACACTAGGATTTTCTCCTGTATCGTGGAGGCACTTTACAAACATCCAGACCCGGAACAACTATTTGCAGGCCATACAAATACTTGTTCCGTGCGGGATTCGAACCCGCGGCTCCCAGTGCAACAATTCATTGCTAAGCAACTGCGCCACGGAGCTGTAAATAACAAATATGATACCGTTTATTCAGGTATTTCGTTCCCGTTGGATAATTTTTGCAGTTACACACGTTCGAAGCCGAACTCTTGAGTGATCGCTGCATGACCACTCGGGAAAAACTAAACATAATAAAGTAAGCAATCTATATTAGGTATATAGAGCCACAGAGGTATAATATGAAGCGATAAAGCAGCGCCTAATAATTTCGCGGTTTCACGCGCGTCATCACGTGTCCGAGATGCGTGGCATGACATGACACCTAGTTCAAGCATTTTATAATTGCAATTAAATATTTTATTTGATAATAATGTATGGAAAAATTGTCATAATTAATGGAGTACTTTTATTTTATCTGTCGGCATACTATGCGCGGTTTTATCCAGTTTTAAAGAAAAACGTACACGATACATGAAAGTGTGTAGGCAAGAAATGATTCTTGATAAATTTGCTATCAACCTCTTATACTTATTAATCAATTAAACTTTCAAAATACCATAGCAACGTGAAATGAAAGAGTTCAGAAATAATGATGTAACTAATCATTGTTACGCTCACCTGGGAGATAGATAAAAGCACTCAGTTAATTTTGAATTTATTTTAGCTACCAGCTGTTCCCCGCGACCTCGTGCGCATTTAGTTTAGGGTGTTAATTTTGTTGCACGGACACCTAATATTTTTTCTTAAATTTAAGCAGTCTAAGTTACTTCTTATAACATGAGCTATCTACTAGTGAAAGTCCCGTCAAAATCGGTCCAGCCGTTTTGGAAATTAACCGGAACAAACAGACTGACAGACATACATAAAATGTTAAAATGTTATAAGTAAGTAGCGTATATAATTTCATATGCATTTAGTAAAAAGCTGTTATTTTGACATTACAAACAGACACTTCAATTTTATTTATTTGTGTAGTTATAGATAATGATTGAACTAACGGCTAACCTAACCTCGCTCATAGAAGCTTTCAATACTGGCTTCTCAGTTCGCGTTATGCGTTGTTTGCGCGTCAAGGCCAAGTATTGAATTATTTTAATTTTACATTATCTCTTAAACTATTTACTATATAAACATGGTATAAAGAACGAACCCTCAAAAAATTGTCTTGATAATGAAGTAACTTTCGTTCGTAAGGATAAATATGCCATGCCTAATAATTAAATTTTCATTTTTTTTTGTCAAAATCAAAATGCCTAATTGTGGCTTACTTATATATAAAAAATAGACATATGGTATCGCGGACTTTTTTTTAGACGGAGTAAAGATCTATATTTTCTGCTTTATTATATTAGTATTAGATGTTGCATCGTGTTCGTGTAACTTCGTTTTTGTTCAAACGGTTCTAAATGCCGTACGAACAAGACGTGCGTGAATACTAGTGTCGATATGCTCATCACTGATACTATCTCTGTCGGGCACGATGCCAGGTGAGACAGCGTGCTTTTTGGCCGCGCCCACCAGCGAGTTCGAGCCCGCGACTTGTGCCACCTTAATGTTGTGTTTCATATAGTGTGGTTTAGAGAACCTGAGACCCTTTTATTGGAAATAAAGGTGACAGACAACACACCTGCATTTAAAAAAAAACACGTCTCCTGTTTTCTTTCCCTGCGCCACAACACTCACAGGATATGGCATAGTGGATTATTTTACGCTGTTGGAAAAGTGTCAAAACATCCAATTTAGTGTACCTGCGTGCCATGTATGTCCGTATGTAGATGCAGTAGCCCATTAACCGTTGAGAGACAGATCACCATCATCTGATGCCTGGTCAGCGTGGTCCTGTTGAGATGCTCGTACAGCGAGCCCAGCGGGTGAAAGTGGGTTATCAGCCACAACTGCAGAAGAAAGCGGATGCAACATGGTTTTTAGTAAAACGTCCTGGATCAAAACAAAAGTTAGTTATTTTCTATATTGTGCTCTAGTTCATTTTCTATATTGTGCCGTTGTACGCTTTTTGTTTTTTAGGGGTAAAAACTACCCCTTATTTTCAAAAATTATGAAATAACATTAAAAACCTAAATATGAGTAAAAATAGTTAAATAATGATTGTTTCGTGCTTTAGGATACAATTTCTTAATCTTTCAACCTACCCTTGTTAAAAACTACCCTTGAAAACATTGAAATTGTCAGAGCACATGCTACTGTCATCGAACTTTAGAATACACTGGTGAGAAATCAACGAAATAGTCGAGCCGACCCATTCGTGCTACAACTATACTACTAATATAGCTGCAGCATGGCTCTACTACGTAAAAAAGTGGAAGTTCTTCTTCTCTGTCTTCCAATAAGTATCGAAACAGTGGAACATATTGTAGTATAGTCTGTGGCCAACTACTATACGTGTCTATGGTAGTTTTTATCTTTGGCTCTCCCTCGACTGTCACTGACCAAGATGTCGGATTCTGTATCAACACATAACTAAAATATAATCTATTAGAAGCAAACAAATCTATGGTTTTATTGACGACATTACATGGCGCAGCCGAGAAAGAACAACAAAGAAGAGAATAACATTATTATTTTGGAGACTAACATTGTGATGAGCGAAGAAATGAAGAGTTATGAGTTCAAGATGCCCACGTCAATTTTGCTGGATAAAACAGACGAAGACCTTGTGATAAAATGGACAAAGTTTAAGCAACAATTTAAAACTTTCTTACTGGCAGCGGGTTTGGAACAAAAGTCTGAAAATAGGAAGGCGGCAATATTGTTAAATTGTCTGGGAGAATAAGTGCAAGATCTCTATTACAACGTGCTGAATGGGTCGGAGGAAAACCAAAAATACACAGATGTAATCCGTTTACTAGATGACTATTTCCTCAATAAACAAAATGAGATCATTCAAACATTTAAATTCAATATCAGGAACCAATTTCATGGAGAATCGTTTGATGCATACTTAAGCGACCTGAAAGAGATGATAAAACAATGTAATTTTGGTGCTCTGGAAGACAGAATGTTAAGAGACAAATTGGTGATGGGAATAAGTGATGAAAAAGTAAGGGAAAAATTGCTAGAGGACAATAATCTCACCATGGATAAGGCAATAACAATTTGTAGAGCAGCGGAAACATCAGAGGCACAGATTAAGATTATCAACGACAAAAATAAAGAACATATTCAAGTTATTGATGTTCTACAAAACAAAGTTAAGTACTCTAATAATTTTAAGACAAAACAAGTTGATAATAAGACGTTTTATCAGTGTTTAAAGTGTTTCAGACGACATGGCCCTAAGCAGTGTCCAGCTTTTGGAAAAAACACTAAAAAACCTAACCACTTTGCAGTAAATGAAACTCCGAAAAGAATAGACGCTCCGGGAAGTCTGCAGTCTGTGAACATGTACAGGATCGCCCCCGTCACTACATTAGATTTGATAGACCACAAATCCTCGCTAAAGAACACCGATTCCTTCCAAGGATGATTCGCGAGGCTATTGAAATCAAAAAACATCCTAATTTCAATAGAGAAGATGGCTGGGTGCTACCATCTGCTTGGGATCCCATAATTAATAAAATTAAATCCCAACCCAAGCATACAACTGCAAGACTTCATGATACTGTAAGTTCATACTGCGTAGATCGGAACAAAAATTAATAATTTTTAATCTGGAGGTAGCCGTGGTTAACTATGACATTGGGACGTCATACACCTCAGTCCCCCCCGTGACCATGGGTGCTGTAAAGTGCTTGAAACGTCGGGAATGTAAAATAAGTTAATATACGCGATAAAATCCGTAAAATTAGTTTCATTTAAATGTGTAGTGTTCGCATAAATATAAGAAATCACTTTGCAGTAGCTTGTAGATTCAAACGTGTGGATGTTATGGAAGATTGTAATGAATTGTGACTAGTAAAAATTCACTCATTCAGTGCGGGGTCATAAACATAAATTTGCAGAATGGAACACAGTTGTGAACGTAGAACATGATAAATTATTATTTAAATGTGATACTTGAGCACAGGTCAATGTTTTATCTTTAAAACATCTTAAACAAGTTGTCAATGATGAAAATCCTAAGCGGTCTGACACAACTATTATTTTAGAAGCGTTTGGTGGTGCTAAAATAAAACCCCTTGGTAAGATTGAATTTACAGTAACTCACAATAAAATATGTGTCAAAACAGAATTTATAATTTTGAAAGAAAATGTTAAACCAATTTGGGGTTTGAAAAGTTTGCTTGAACTTCAATTATTAAGTAATATTAATATTAATGAAATTAACAGTATTAAAACGCAAGATAGTCAGGAAAATTTAAAATAAATAATCTTTCAAGAGAAAATGTTAATAAAAATAATGTAAAAAAGTTTCAGGGTGTTGGTGAGTTCACACGGCCGTTGCAGTTGCACATTTAGCCCGGAGCCCAAGCCTTTGTTAAGCATCCACATCGAGTACCTCAGGCTTTGTTGTGGCGATTGGAAAGTAAATTAAATTCTTTAGTTGAAAACCAAATTATTGAAAGGGTTCAGCATCCTAAATCATTTGTAAGTAATTTAGTAATTGTTGAAAAAAATGATGGCAATTTAAGACTGTGTTTAGACCCAAAAGATCTGAATAAAGTTTTAGTGAGAGAGTATCATCTTATTCCCACTTTAGAGGAAATAACAGCAAAGATGAGTAATAAATCATGCATCTGGTTTGCAAATTAATTTAAATGATGTAATCATTATCATTGGTATATATCGTTCTCCGTCAATATCAAATGCGGAAGAATTTATAGAATCTTTGAACCTTTATTTAAAAACTATTGAAAGGAGTAAAAACGTTATTCTTACAGGTGATATAAATATAAATCTAATATACAATTCTAATGAATCATCGCAAACTCGTTCAAACAGAATTAATTATTTAAATATGGTGGCTACCCATGGTATGCTTCCTGCACACATTTTACCAACTAGAGGTGATAGTTGCCTTGATCATTTTATAATTAAGCTAAGTAGTAATAGCAGAACCGCAACTATTGCTGTACTTGATACCGCTATAACAGATCACTCTATGATTTTCCTAAAGATATCTAACTTAAAATCAGTAAATTTAAATAAATATAAAAAGGTTAAAACAATAATAAATTACGATAAAGCAGTGGAATACCTTAAAACTAATAAACTTAATGAATTGTTATCCCTCAATGATCCTAATCTTATCTCACAAATATTGATAACAACTTTACAGCAAAGCCTTTTAAGAAGTACTATAACAATATCAATACCTAGAAGGGAGCGAATTATTAAGCCTTGGATGACTGTGGGTGTGCTATTGGTCAAACTTCGTGGGTGTATTAATAGTACATATATAAAGACAATCACAGAAGGGTGGCGATCAATTTTAATTATTACTTTGTTTTGTTTTCACAGATTTTTTTCGTAGAAAAAAGCGGATACCGATCTTTTTTTTGTTTTTGTTTGAAAGCTCAAATTAAATACTTTAAAAAATTTTCTATGAGCTTTTTTCGAATAATGCAAATTTTTCTCGTTATTTCGCTTTAAATCTTCCAATTTATGCATTTGACGATAAAAGCTAAGCATTAATTTGCTCTCAGTTCGTATTTGTCGTAGAAAAATTATAAAAAAAGCATTGTTTTTGTTTTTTTTAAAGCTACAATTTGACTCTACACTCTTTTTGATAAATTGCATATTTTTAGAGTTATTCGCAAAAAACCATTTAAGAAAGTAGTTTTTTTCGTCAAGAAACTGTTAGTTTCAACTTTGAATAACTCAAAAAATATTAGTTTTACGACAAAAACAAATATAATATTTTTTTCTTAGAATTACTTTTTCCGTCGATTCCTATAGTTAAAATGTAATAAAAAAATTCCACTCTCGAGATGGGGTGGCAACCACCCCCAAGGCCTACAGCGGCATGATATAGACAATGACCCTTGAGCTATTCCCTACCTTCTGTGAAAATTTCAAATCCATGGTGGACGAAAAAATTGCGAGCCAAAATGCTTCATTGCCTGGACTACAAGCAATAAGTTGACAAAATTTTAGCGCAATCTGATGGACGGCATGGCAGCGTATAAAATACGAACAAACAAAAACTAATTTGTATATATTAGATTTATTTATTCTTTATTGCAACACCCCTTCAACATAGGGTTACAAAGGGCGAACTTAATGCCCTACGGCATTCTCTACCAGTCAACCCTGAGATGGAATAAATAAAGTTGTTGGTAGGTGCAAATTAAGAACAAAAAAATCTTTAAATCTTGAACCTAGCTATAATGATGACGATGAAAATGGTAACGTTCTACCTACCTGCGTACAACTGTTCCGGCTGGTCATATCGCTGCCGATGTATGCGAGGATGTTGTCGTGTCGCAGCAGCACGGTGCTGTACACCTCCGTCTCCCTTCTCCAGGAGGCCTCGTCCCTGGAGAAGAATATCTTCACCGCTACGCTGTCCGCACACCAAGAGCCACGCCATACTTCACCGTAACGACCCTGGAGAACAAATAATTCAAAATCAACTTTCGTTTTCAAGCCCACGTAAACAGTTTACAGTTGGGACCTTTTCATTTTATTTGGCTTATTTGAAGTTCAGGAAGGTTTCCGTTAATCGTTATGCTTGGCAGGCGGTTCGATAATCACAACACTAGACGTGAGGATCATTCCTGGTTTGAGTGTTAAGGGTGACAAGCAAGCGCACAGTCCACCTGATGGCAAGTAGCCCAAAGACATCTACATGTATCCTCGCTTGAGAATCAAATAATTGCAGATGCGTTGTCAGCCGTGAGGACTATGATAGAATGCCTCTTTTCCAGTAAAAAGGGTCTCCGGTTCTCTATACTCACCATACGAAACACAATAGCATTAAGCTGCTATTTTATGCTGATATTTTGTGAAAGCGTGGTCCTTCCCCGGTCGAGCCGACCCATTCGTGCTACAACTATACTCTTAATATAGCTGCAGCATGGCTCTAACACGTTTGAGGGATTTAGCCACAGTTGCACGCTTCGCAACCGAATTTTTTTAATTAGAATAGTTATCAGGAATACGCTGCTGCCCATTATCCATTTCAGTTTCCCTCTGACGCCTTTTATGACACTCACGCGACGAAATGGAGTGATGCACTCTTGGGTGTGTGAAGTGGATGGTGTGGCACAAAGCTCTTAATCGATAATAACTGTAAGTGTACACCTGTTATTGATTAAAAATTGCATCAAGTAAATGCAGATGGTTTTCAAAGTTAAAGACTAGGACGCAATAGAATGATTCATTAACAGTAAAAAATATAAAAGATTCATTGTTAACAATTTTGATTACCTTGCCAACACATTCAATAAGCGTGACCTGCTTAGCCAATGTACGCTGAACCATCAGAGGCAGACCGGAGCCTGATCCGCTGGTCACAGAACATTCTAGATACTCCCTCAGAGTGGAATCGCCAGCCGCGACCGCTTTCAGCCCTCCTCCGTTTTGAGAGCCCTCAAGACCTGTGTACAACAATCAAATCATAAATTTTCCTGTTCTTCGTCTCTCAAGCTGCTCCAGTTGTAAAGCCAAATGCTTAGCCAATGTGCTAGTGAGCCGTCAAAAACTATATAATATATATTCAAAAGCTGTGCCAGTGCAGGGGCGAAGCGTCACAGTAAACAAGCAACCCGGGTTTGATCCCCGCCGGTACCAATGAAATTGTTAATTGCAATTTTAAGTGATGATTTACCACGTGCTCGGCGGTGAAGGAAAACATCGTGAGAAAACCTGCATCTCTGAGAAATAAGAAAAAAAAATTCGCAGATATGTGAAGTTGGCCAATACGCATTGGGGCAGCGCGGCGAACATTTCCTTGCCCTAAAACCCTCTCAAAAATAAGAGGCCTGTGCGCAGCAGTGGGACCCCCATGTAGGCTGTAACTTTAATTTTATGTGAAGTCAACCCACACGTATTGGGCAGCATGGAAGACATTTCAATGACATTCAAAACAATAAGAGTAGTTCTTTACCCAAGATAGGGACATATATAGGATGTGACTTTACCACATGCTTGATGGTGATGGAATACACGACGAAGAAACCTGCATGTCTGAGAACTTAAAAAAATATATAACAAAGAAAGAAAGTACAGTTTAAGGAATATGAATAACAAACGAAATATTTGCCAACATTATAAATTTAAGAAAAAACACTGCGAAAAAGACCAGTCTCAGTGTATGCACTGATCTTTCAGTTCGGCCCATACTGCCTCGGAGTAACCAAAATATGACACATGTTGTCAGCAATGTATATAGGCTTTACTATAAGAAAAGTTAAGTTGCAGCTTTTATATGTCTCACTGCTGGGCACAGGCCTCATTTCTGAGAATGATACTTACCAATTTGTGTTGGTGGACTTCACATGTCTGCAGAATATTTTTGAGGGAGTGCTCTACTCTCGATATGTGGCCATACCTCAATTTCGCTACATAAATTCGTTCTTATACTTTTAGCTAGACATCAAATCCATAATATTATTAACGTTACAGTAACTACAGACATTGAGTTATAAGATTAGTTTATTTTCTAATTGATTCACATTAGATTACATAACAAAAAATTTAATCGAAAAATATATGGACTGCCGTCCGTTGGTCTGTGCGTCGGTGAGTCTTCTCGCTTAACAGAAATGTAAGCAATAGATTGAAATATATAGTATTAAATAACATTCCATACATTCTAAGGAGGATCCCTATTGATTTTTGTTATTGAACTGTTTAAGTTATTTATGAAATTCCATCAGATTCTGTTTTTTAATTTTATATTTTTTCACCAATATTAAATGAAACACTCATGATGCGTGCACATTTGGGTCTTCCAAATATTGTTTTTTTAGTTTTCCTCACGAAGTTTCTCTTCAGCGCCGAGCACGTGGTCAGGACTTACCTGGTAGAAACACGTGGTCAGGATTTACATGGTAGAACCACATTGCAGCTATATTATGGTTGTAGCACGAATGATTCGTCCTGTCCGCGGTATTACCATGCTCTCATAGAATACCAGCATATAATAGCAGTTTAATGCTACTGTATTTCGTATGTAGTGTGGAGAACCGGAGATCCTTTTTACTGGAAACGAGGCATTCCATCTTAGTTCCTCAGGGGTGACAATGCATCTGCATTTTCATTCTTAATCAAGGATAAATGTTGATGTCTATGGGCTACACAATCCGCTTACCCTCAGGAGGAGTGTATGCATATTTGTCACCCTTATTCTATATATAAAAAAAATACTTAAAATTGCAATTAACAATTCCATTTGGGGATCGAACCCGGGTTGCTCGCATTATACGACGCGCTTTTATCTCCTTAGTCACCACGGCTAACTTCTAACTATAACTAAATTTCTTAAGTTTACACTCTATAATATAATCAGCGAGAGAGAGGTCATTACTTATACCCAAGTAAAGAATATCAATTGTGACGACAGATATGTCATATGACTAAGTTACAATATAATAATTATTTTGTAATAAAGATCACCGATATCTTGATTAAGCCATACCTTCATAGCAAGCACTTGTCACATGAGGGCCGTATATGTTGCTAGAGAAGTAGTTGGAGTCAGGTCCCAATTTATGAAGGGCTGCCCTGGATACCCGCAGCCTGGAAGTACAATTTAAATGAAACTATTTTTTACGGGTTTTATCGCGTATATTAACTTGTTTTATATTCACATATAAAACAAGGGGCGGGGGGGCTGAGGTGTTTGACGTCCCAGTCCCTACCTCCTGATTAAAATTATTAATTTTTGTTCCAATCTACACAGTATAAACTTATACCATTTTGAAGTCTTGCAGTTGTATGCTTGAGTTGGGATATAATTTTACTTATGATATAATTTCAAGCAGACCCAGACATCATAAATATAAGAAATCATTAGAAGTACAATTTAATAATTTAACATAATAATAATTTAAAGGGTTATGTAATTTAAAATATAACATGGTCAGGTGCATCTTTCTAATAACAACTCAACAACAAAAATAAAAGTAAACACACTTGACAGGTGATTGCCTCCGCCTGTCAAGTGTGGCAACTATGGCAAATATGCCAATGTTATAGTTGCAATGCTTCTTATTTGGCATATCACTATGAGACCATCTTTTAGGGAGGCCTGTGTGTCAGCAGTGGACAGTAAAAAAACCAGTGGTTGCTTAACCGTCTGTCAAGTGTGGCAATTATGGCAAATATCTCCCATATGAGACAATCTATGTTTAGCAGTATATTTTTCCGTTCATTTTCCGTTCATTATTCCGTTCATTATTCCGTGTAGTGGCGGTTAAGAATATCCACTACCCCATATCTTCCCGTGGGTGTCGTAAAAGGCGACAAAGGGAAACAGGCACGAGATGGGCAGCAGCATCTTCCTGGTAACGACAAAATACAATAAAAAACTGCGGTTGCCAACCCGCTCGCCAAGCGTGGCAACTATGGCAATATACCCCCCATAATGAAAGTTACGAAGAGACGGCCCCCAGTCCCCGGCGGCCCCGCTATTCCTGGCTACGGTGGCGACCATGGTAACGGCGGGGCAGGGGGTGCTAAGAATCTCCGGTGGAGGTTCGGTTGCCACCTACAACGACTCGACCTGGCAACATACAACGCACGCACCCTGAGGACTGACGAGAAGATTGTGGAGCTGGAAGAAGAGATAGACAAGTTACGCTGGCATATTATAGGATTATCCGAAGTCCGAAGAGAGGGGGAGGACACGGTAATCCTCGAATCCGGCAACTTGCTCTATCACCGGGAGGGCGACCATCTGTCCCAAGGAGGTGTCGGATTTATCGTCCACAAGTCTCTCGTTAACAACGTTGTAAAGATTGAGAGTGTGTCGACGAGGGTTGCGTACCTTATACTCAGAATCACCAAACGGTATTCGCTGAAGGTCATACAGGTTTACGCACCAACCTCGGCACACCCCGATCAGGAGGTGGAGGAAATGTATGAGGATATCTCTAGAGCCATGCATTCCTCCAAAACCCAATATACGGTGTTAATGGGAGACTTCAATGCAAAACTAGGCACAAGAGAGAACGGTGAGCTGAAAGTGGGGAAATTTGGAATAGGGCAACGGAACCCAAGGGGCCAGCAGTTGGCCGACTTCATGGAGAAAGAGGGACTCTTTATGATGAACTCTTTCTTCCAGAAGCGGCCCCACAGGAAGTGGACCTGGTCGAGCCCCGACGGTTCGACAAAAAATGAGATTGACTTCATTATGACGACCAGACGACAACTGTTCAGTGATGTCTCAGTGATCGCGAGGGTGAAAACCGGCAGCGATCACCGAATGGTTAGAGGCACACTGAACCTAAACGTTAAGTTGGAGAGGTCTCGTCTAATGAAGTCAACGCTCCGTCCCCCTCGTGCTCTAATCCAGAGTCCCGAAACCTTTCAGCTCGAGTTGCAAAACCGTTTTCAGTGCCTAGAAGACTGCAATGAAGTGGACGATTTGAATGACAAGCTCGTGGAAACTGTCCATGCGGTCGGAGCTAAGTTCTGCAAGACCCGCCGCAGAAGAACACAAAAACTCTCCGATCACACTCTTAATCTCATGGCTGTTAGACGGGAGATGAAGCTACATTCTTCAACAGATTTGACAGCATACAGGCAACTGAACAGACAGATCTCCAAATGCATGCGGCGGGACTTACGCAACTTCAATACAGCTTGTATTGAAGAAGCGATCGAGCGGAACCAAGGCTCCAAAGTCTTTGCCAGAGATCTGTCTGCCAGAAAGAGCCAACTGTCAAAGCTGAAGACCGAATGTGGCAGCATCGTTTCCGGGGCACCTGAGATTTTGAGTGAGATTGAGAGGTTCTATGGGCAGCTGTACACGTCATCGTTGGAGCCACACGCAAGTGTGAGTAACGATCCAAGAGCGAGTCTTATCCGACATTATTCCGATGATATCCCGGACGTCAGTCTGAGCGAGATTAGAATGGCTCTCCAGCACCTTAAAAACGGCAAGGCCCCAGGCCAGGATGGAATTACAGCGGAGCTTCTGAAAGCGGGTGGAAAACCGGTACTTGAAGTCCTTCAGAAGCTCTTTAATTCCGTCCTCCATGGTGGCATTACACCGGAGGCGTGGAGCAGAAGTGCGGTGGTCTTGTTCTTCAAGAAAGGCGACAACGCTCTCTTGAAGAACTACAGACCGATTTCCCTTCTGAGCCGCGTCTACGTGCTGTTTTCGAGAGTCATTACGAATCGTCTCGCGCGCAGACTTGACGACTTCCAGCCTCCCGAACAAGCCGGTTTCCGAAAAGGCTTTAGCACCATAGACCACATACATACCCTTCGGCAAATTGTACAGAAATCCGAGGAGTACAATTTGCCACTATGTCTGGCGTATGTGGACTATGAGAAAGCCTTTGATTCCGTCGAAATTTGGGCGGTGCTGCAGTCCCTTCAGCGATGCCAAGTTGACAGTCGGTATATCGAAGTGTTGAAGTGCTTGTACAGTAGGGCTACGATGGCTATCCGAGTACAGAACCAGAGTACGAAACCTATCCAATTGCAGAGAGGTGTAAGACAGGGTGACGTCATATCCCCGAAACTCTTCACCGCTGCATTGGAAGATGTTTTCAAGCTTCTGGACTGGAAAGGATACGGTATCAACATCAATGGCGAGTACATCACTCACCTTCGATTTGCCGACGATATAGTCCTTATGGCAGAATCGCTGGAGGACCTAAGCACTATGCTCAATGACCTCAATAGTGTTTCCCAACGGATAGGTCTTAAGATGAACATGGACAAAACAAAGATCATGTTTAATGTCCATGTCACACCTATGCCGGTAGTTGTTGGGAACACTAAGCTCGAAGTTGTTGACGAGTATGTTTACCTGGGACAAATAGTCCGACTAGGTAAGTCCAACTTCGACCGAGAGGTCAATCGACGGATTCAACTCGGTTGGGCAGCGTTCGGGAAATTACGGCACATCTTCTCGTCAGGTATACCTCAAAACTTGAAAACGAGACTGTACACCCAGTGCGTGTTGCCAGTGATGACATACGGAACTGAGACGTGGTCCTTCACTGCTGGCCGGTTGAGGAAGCTCAAGGTCGCTCAGCGAGCTATGGAGAGGGCTATGCTCGGAGTTTCTCTGCGTGATAAACTCAGAAATGAGGATATCCGCAGTAGAACCAGAGTGACCGACATAGCCCAACGGATTAGTAAGCTGAAGTGGCAATGGGCCGGCCATATAGCTCGAAGAACCGACAACCGATGGGGAAGAAAGGTTCTCGAGTGGCAGCCTCGTACCGGCAGGCGAAGTGTAGGGCGTCCCCCCACTAGATGGAGTGACGACCTGGTAAGATTTGCAGGAAGTCGATGGATGCAGGTGGCTCAGGACCGTGCTTTGTGGCATTCTTTGGGGGAGGCCTATGTTCAGCAGTGGACTTGTGAAGGGCTGTAATGATGATGATGTTTAGCAGTGGACTTGTGATGGGCGGTAATGAATGAATGAAAACATTTCTACCAATTATTTTTATTGGTAGAAAATTAATTATTTTCTACCAATAGTTGCGGTAGCAAACTTAACAATTTTTTTAAATTTCAGCGAATGCAAGCTCTACTGAATTTGAATCCCACTGAAACCAGAATTCTTATTCGACTAGTCGACGGTTTGACGTTGGACCGCTAGCCCATTCATTCAATGCTTGTGGTGTGATTGTTTGTCACCCTAACATTAAAGGAAGATTATCCTACCTGTGACTCCTACGCAGAACAAATATGGCCATCGCTCCTATAGCACTGACAATAAACACTGAGGCTATTACACTGGCCCACAGTTTCCACGTGTTGGAGGGCAGGGGCTCTATTGCAGTGTCTGCCGCTGGGGGCAAATCTGGGAAGCTGCCATCATTGCACATATCACCTTGGCAGCATGTAATGTTCAACTGACCCGCGTGGCGTTTGCGGAGTCTGGAATAAAACATTTTCAGATAATTTTACCACATGATTATTCAGATAATTTTACCACATGATTATTCAGATAATTTTACCACATGATTATTCAGATAATTTCTTACGTGGTAGAGCCTGCAGCTATATTATGGTTGTATAACGAACAACAAGTCGAACCAACTTGACCGGGGAAGGACCACACTTTCACAGAATACCAGCGTAGAGAACCAGAGACGCTTTTTTATTGGAAACGAGGCATTCCACCTTAGTCCTCGCATCTGCATTTTCATTCAGCAAGACGTACGTTACGTAGTACTTATGGGTACTGTGGCCGGCTAGTCACCCATATTCTATTTTAAAAAAATTATGCTTGATGGTGTAGAAAACATTAGGAGGAAAACTGTCTCTTTGAAGAATAAAATATTTCAAAGATATGTGGAGTACTGCTAACAAGTATTGATAGTGCGGAAGACTCAGAAAAGAGAGCAAGTCTGTGCCCAGCAGTGAGATGTTTATAGGCTGTAAATTTACTCACTGTATTTTATTATGTTATTATTTCTTTTTTAAAGTGAAAAGTTCTTTGAAATTGTTATGATTTGAAACAAAAAAGAGACACTAAAAATAGACTATGAGAGAATGAAACGTGTTAGACCATCTAGTGTCTATTTTACATATCACATAGAGTCAAAAATTTTTGTTCAATAAACTGACTTTGCCTATAGAATGAAGTAGACGGCGCTATTACAAAGCAATTTTACTCATAAGAAAATATTTTTTTTTAATTTATTACACTAAAATGTACGCTCTACATGTCTAAAAATAAGGATTGTAACATTTATTGGTGGCCATGGTCATGAGCCACCTGGATCCATCAACTATCTGCATATCTCACCAGGTCATCACTCCATCTCTATTGGAGGGCCTCTCTAAAGTTTGTTTACTTGTACGAGGCTGCCACTCAATAACTTTTCTGCCCCATCGGTTGTCGGTTCTTCGTGCTATGACTGGAATGACAGCTTACTGAACCGTGTGTCGCCGCATACAGGACTAAATATCTCGACACGCCGAGATCTTTCCACGAAGTTATTAGCAACATCAAAGGACTCCTGAACTTCTTAGAGATTTCATGGTTCACACGCAAAAAACTTTTTTTTATAGGAAAGGGCGCAAACGAGCTTACGGCTCACCTGATAGTAAGTGACTACCGCCACCCATGAAAAACTGCAACACCAAGGGAATTGCAGGTGTGTTGAGGGCCTTTTAATAAGGTGTAAGCTCTTTTATTGAAGGTCACTAAGTTGTATCGGTCCGGAAAATCATCGGTGGTAAGCTATTCCACAGAGAAGTCGCACGCGGAAGAAAACTCGTAGTCAAATGTACAGTGGCGGACCGCCATGCATCCAGATGGTGTGGATGGCATCGAGAGTTTTGCCGCGATGTGCGTTCGTGAAATTTGGCGGCTGGGATTGATCCGAACAATTTCTCAGAGCATACCCCGCGGTAAATGCGAAAGGAAGTCCAAAGGGATGCAACATCTCTTCGCAGCGCCAGTGAATCGAGCCGATTGGAAAGGACTCGGTCGTCGACGATTCAAGCCGCTCTGTGCTGGATGCGGTCGAGTGGAAGAAGCTGGTACTGGGGACCCCCAGCCCAGAGATGGGAACAGTACTCCATGTGAGGCCAAACCTGCGCCTTGTAAAGTTGCAGGCGGTGTGCCGGCATGAAATACTTTCCCGCTCTACTGAGCACGCCAAGCTTTGTAGAGGCCCATTTGGCCTTCTCTTCCAAATGACCACGAAACTGCACGACACTCGATATATCACCGCCGAGGATTCCGATACTGGCTAAGGCAACAAGGGGAGTGCCTTGAAACTGAGGAGATACGACAAAGAGGTTCTTTTTAGCGGTAAACGCGTAAACTTGTGTCTTCTGAGAATTAAACTGGACTATATTTAGTCGCTCCCAACCCGAGACTTTATTCAGCAAAGACACGACTGCAGACACAAGTTTGTTCCGGTACTCGGCAACGTTTTCCCGAGAAATATTGGCACGGCCGATGTATAGAGTATCACCAGTGCTGTCATCCCCATAGCAATTAATGTTACCGGTTTGCAACATATCATTGATATGCAGGAGAAATAGCGTTGGTGATAGCACGCAGCCTTGTGGAACACCAGCGTTAATAGGCTTATAGTCGGAGCATGCACCTATAAGACCTTGATGCTCCAATCTGCAAGAAAGCTGGTGATCCAATTGCACAATTTTTCGGGAAGCTCATAGGAAGGGAGCATCGAAAGAAGCACTTTGTGCCAAACCTGATCGAAGGCCTACACAATGTCCAACTAATTGGTTCGTACTTACTCTTTTACTGTGAATTAATTTTAAGTGGAATGAAATCTTACCCCAAAGGAGGTTGATTGGTCCGACATGTAAACTGCGCATGATCTCTCCGCGTGGAGCACCCTCGCGAATGTCTCAAGGTCCCATCGGAGGCCCTCACCGATGATTTGTAGCAGTAGAGGGCGTCACCACACACGCCGATAGAATCACCCTCCGAACCGCAGTCAGGCGGCTCACATTGGTGGCATTTATATCTGAAATATATTTAATATTGAAACATAAATAAACCTTGTTGTATTTAATTGCTTAGTGTAATGTCCTCCAGACTCAACTCTGGTCACGGCAGTCACTCTCAACGGATACAAGCCATCTGCATCAGACAGGATTATAGAGCCGAGTGTATGTGCAAGCACAAGTGCACTCCCTCTCCCTCACCCTCATAGTTCGATACTGTAAGCTCATTGTGTATAGATAAGACCAAAAATTAATATTCAAAAACTGAAGGCTGCCAGGCTACCTATGACGTTGAGATGTCAAATACCTTAGTCCCCCCATCTGCTTGGGATCCCAAATAAATTAAATTCCAATTCAAGCATATCACTGCAAGACTTCAAGATAATATAAGTTTTTTCTATGTAGAAACAGACTAAAAATTATTTATTTGAAATTGTAGATGGTCATGGTTAATTATGATATTGGGACGTCGAACAGTCCCCCGGTGAGTGTGGGTGCTGAAAAGTGCTTGAACCGTCAGGAATATAAAATAAGTTAATAAAACGCGATAGAATAAGAAATCATTACAAGACTGTTACTCAAGAATACATAAGTAAAAAAGACCCCTGGGAATGAGGTGATCCCCACTATGGTAAATAAAAAAAATCTATTAAAACTTAATTAAAAATTTGTACAAACGAAAAAAAAAACAAAATTATTGTAAAGTGAAATATGTTTAAAAAAAAAGTTCCGCTGGTAAATAAAAAAAAAATACTTTCAATAAGTATTATGTAATAATTTATATTGAATATAAATTATTCTATTCAAAAAGCTTTCTTCTCCATTGCTAGACACAAAGTCTTCAGCAGTGTCCAAGCTGCGGTCTAAGCTGACTCTAGTTTTCAACATATTAATAATTATTGCAATAAAGTAAAAATAGCTTGATTGATTGATACCTTTTTTGAAACTTCCTTCTCCTGGGCAAAGCAAGAAAGAAAACAGTAATTAATGTTTTAAAATATCATAACCAATAAGAAATGAGAGATACATTTCATCAGGGTGGTACGGGAAAATCATCAAGATAAATATCATGATAATTATCAGTGATAATAATGTTTATATCCGCGTTTGATAAAATCTATAGTGTGTATAGTAATAATGGTTTGTACGAGGGTGGATTGAAAAGTACTCGGCCTAACACAGATCCATTCAATTCTAAAAATCAAATTTACCCACATTATTTAGTTCAGTTCAGACTAGTTCATTGTGTGAAGTTCGAAACGTGTGCGATAATTAGTTGTGATTTTATAAATTTATTAACAAAGTAATCGGACATAAATCCCGCGAATGGAGCAAATCGAGCAGCGTGCCGTCATTAAGTACCTCCATAAGAAGGGGCTATCATCAAAAGCCATCCATGATGACATGGTCAGTACATTAGGCGATTGTGCTCTGTCATATTCATCCGTCAAAAAATAGATAGCAGAATTTAAGCGTGGTAGAGAGAGTGTGAAAGATGAACCCCGCTCTGGAAGGCCTTCGACGTCAACTACTGACGAAAATATTAAAAAAGTACTTGATTTAATAATGGGAGACCGCAGATTAAAAATTAGAGAGATAGCCGAGATTATAGGCATCTCTTATGAACGAACTCAAAACATCATTGTCAACGAGTTGGGTTTCCACAAGGTGTCTGCGAGGTGGGTTCCGCGACTGCTTTCAGTTGAACAAAAAAGGACGCGATTGACTATTTCACGCGACTGTTTGGAGTTATTTGAAGCCGATGCAGATGATTTTTTGAATCGTTTTGTTACTATGGACGAAACATGGGTTCATTACTGTACACCGGAAACAAAACAACAATCAAAACAGTGGAGAAGACCTGGTTCACCACCCCCTAAAAAGGCTAAGTCGATTTTGTCGGCAAATAAGGTGATGGCTTCAGTATTCTGGGACTCGAAAGGTGTGATTATGATTGATTATCTCGAAAGGGGTCAGAATATAAACTCTGATTACTACTGCACCTTACTACGTCGTTTACGAGAGGAAATAAAAGAAAAACGTAGAGGAATGCTCAGAAGAAAAGTCCTGTTTCATCAAGATAACGCCCGTGTTCACACGTCAGTACAGTCAATGGCTGAAATTCACAACTGTGGCTTTGAACTGTTACCGCATCCGCCGTATTCACCTGATCTGGCACCATCAGACTTCTTTCTGTTCCCTAACCTAAAAAAGCACTTGGGAGGTCAAAGATTTTCGACAAACGACGAGGTCAAAGCAGCTGTAGACGCATATTTTGACTCTAAGGAAGAATCATTTTTTTTCAACGGTCTAAATGCTTGGAAGGGGAGGTGGCAAAAGTGTATTGAACTTGATGGTGATTATGTAGAAAAATAAAAATATAACTGATTTAGTATTTGTTTATTTTCTTGGTTAGGCCGAGTACTTTTCAATCCACCCTCGTATAAATTTTGTTATTATCGATTGTATCAAACAATAAGTATTTTTTGTTAGAATTCTTTTATTACCTATACATTATATTGTTGGATAATAATCGGATAATTATCAGATAATCATCAGACAATCATCAAAGAACATTATCTGTATACCTATAAGCGAAATACCACTCACTGACTGACTGACTCATCACAAGTTCGCTAAAACTATACACTTGGATTCTGCTGTCAGAGTGATTGGTAGTCACACGTGTTTCAGCGATTTTCGGATATATTTTTGTGTTGAGCTTCGTTAATATCTTTGCCGTCTTCTGTGTTTGTTATTATATACATTTGTGTTGTGTTGTTCATTACTTATTTGTTGGTAAGTAGCGACAGTTAATCAATTCTTACAAACATTTACACCCACCCTGATTTTCTAGAAAAGAAAAAATACACAGATAGTGATAAAGGGCCTTTTACAATTCACCATAAGCGTATAGAACCTGATCCTTCATCTGGTTACACAATCCGACTTGTCAAGATCGGCCATATCCTATCCCAAAACAAGGTTTCCAATATTGAAAAACAAAGCATAACAAATTTAGGTCGTAACAGGGTCTCAATAGCTTTTAAAACTGCTACAGATGCCAATAATTTTATCGAATCATCCTTTCTTGCTAAATATAAACTATCAGCAGTCATTCCAACCTTCAATGTTACCAGAATGGGTGTTGTTAGAGGCATACCAACCGATATTTCCATGGAGGATTTGGTGTGTGAGTTGGAACTTCCCCCAGGTAGAGGAGAAATTATAAAGGCTAGGAGATTACACCGAAAAGTAAAGAAAGGCGATGATATTGAGTGGGTGGACACCCAAACCGTTGTCCTTATATTTTCAGGCCAAGAGCTTCCTTCTCACTTATACTGCTTTTACACCTCAATTCCTGTCGAATCCTATATACTCCCTTCCATACAGTGTCTGAAGTGTTGTCGCTTTGGATATGTAAAGGCTCAGTGCAGATCAAAGCCACGCTGTTTGAAATGCTCAAAAGAGCACACTGGAGTTAATTGCGTTACAGATATCCCAACATGCCTGTTCTGCTCTGCTAATCACTTGGCAACTGATAAAAGTGGCCCTGAACATACTAGATAAAAAAGCATTAAACTGGTCATGTCCCAAGAAAATATTTCATATTTAGAGGCATCTGCTCGATTCCCTGCAGTTAGAAGACCTTACGCTGATGTAGCTGCATCTTTAGGGATTCCTTGCCCACCCACTTCATCACAACAGTTATCAAGTATTCACCCTGCTCCTCATGCTTCTCAATCTTATAGAAGGACTGTTTTCAGAATTAACCCAACTAGACCTGTTCCAAATTCTGTAGGCTATGATAAGGTAGCACACAAATATTATAATAACCTCTATCTCTTCCCTTCCAAATGGTCATGCTCTTCAAGCTAATTTATCCCCTAATGATAATCTCCTGGAAAACCTTGTGTCCTCCATCTCTGATATAATTAGCAAATTTAACGACATACACCTACCGTTTAACGTGAGAAATAAACTTGACATGCTCTTCCAAAAAATTTATAGAATTCAATCGCCTCCACATCTTCCAGTGGAACTGTCGGAGCATCAAGAACAAGAAATCTGAACTAACTAATTTGATAAATACTCATAACCCCTCAGTCATTGCTATTGCGGAAACCTGGCTAAGACCTGGTTTCAGATTCAGAACCCCCGGTTTTCGTGTATCCGTGACGACCGCAGCGATGGCTACGGTGGCACTATGATTCTTCTAAATAGAAATCTTACCTCTTGCTCAATTCCCCTTCCTCTGCAAGAGAATATTAATGCAACAGCTGTAAAAGTAATGGACATCACAATTGTGTCAATATATATTTCCAATCCTACTCCTGCTTGTATCCCAGAGCTTAACTTAATCCTGTCTAGCATATCTCCTCCTTTTATTGTAATTGGGGACTTCAATAGTCACAATGTACTGTGGGGTTCTCATAAAAATGATTCTTTTTCCTATCTTAATTCTTATCTAATAGACGTCTTTAATGAGTTTAACCTTTGCATTCTGAATAATGGGTCTCCCACCCGCATGGTCTACCCTTCCCAAAGTCCTAATTCTGTTGTAGATCTATCCCTCTGCTCTGCTAATTTAGCTGCAAGTATCATTTGGAACACTCTATCGTCCACCTTTGGTAGTGACCACTTCCCCATCCTTTTGTCTTTGTCCAGTAGAAGCCTTCCCACTAGGAATAAATCATGCATCTCCAAGTTTAACGTGTCCAAAGCCAACTGGGATGTATATCTTTCTGATATAGAAACTAAAGCTCATTCTCTCCCTCCAGTGTCTCACATTATCTTACAACATGCCTACTCTGATTTTATCTCCCTTTTAAAAGAATCTGCTACAAAATCTATCCCCCTTAAAAATAGCTCCATTAACAAAATTTCCTCACCTCCTTGGTGGGACGCAGAGTGTTCTTCTATTGTTAAAAAACGCAAAGATGCTGAACAACAGTACTCTGCAAATATGTTCATGGAAAACTTTATAAATTATAAAAAAATAGATGCTCAAGCCAAAAAAACATTCTCGGAGAAGAAGAAAAAAGTATGGCTTTTATTCTGTGAGAGTCTGTCACCTCGCTCTCCAGCCTCCCTTGTTTGGAAAAACATAAAGCGATTTCGTGGTTCTCTCAATGATAGCCAAATAAATAATCCTGACCCCTCACTTTGGATAGACAACTTTTGTAGCAGCTTGTCTCCTCCATGGGTCCCTTCCTTAGAGGAGATATTCCCAGTAACCTTCCCATCTTTCTTATGAATCTATGAATGATACCTTCTCCCTCAGAGAGCTTCAGTTGGTGTTTAACCATCTTAAGGACTCCTCTCCAGGTATCGATGGGATCCCGTACTCTCTTTTAACTCACATGGGCTCCACATCCAAAAAATATTTTCTAGACATAATCAACTGTATATATTCAACAGGAGCAGTTCCTGATGACTGGAAAACCCATATCATAATTCCTATCCTTAAAACTGGAAAAGACCCCTCTATAGCCACTAGTTACCGTCCAATAGCCATTTCATCCACTCTATCAAAGATAATGGAGCACCTCGTCAAAAACTGCCTAGAGTGGTTACTAGAAAATAGAGGCATCTTGCCTAAAAGCCAGTTTGGTTTTAGAAAGGGTTTGAGTAGTTAGGTTTGAGAGCTCTGACAGCCTCAGCCTTTTGATTTCCAATGTCAGACTTGCATTTTCCCAAAACAACTTCCTTGTAGGTGTCTTCTTAGATGTTTGCGCAGCTTATAATAATGTTATACTTCCGCTGCTCAAGCATAAGATGCATCAGCTGAGCATCCCTGTGAGGATAACGAACTTTGTGTCAAACCTTTATTCAGGAAGACGTGTTCTAGTGCGCGTAGAGGGTAATTTCATGCCAGAGAGATACATCTGGAAAGGTCTTCCACAAGGCTCTGTTCTAAGTCCCCTTCTGTATAACTTATATACCCACGATCTAGATAGATCCGTAAACTGTCTGTCCAACATACTCCAATATGCTGACGATTTGGCTCTTTTTGTTACTGACCATTCTTTACCTGACGCCTCTTCTCGATTATCTCGTGCGGTATATTACCTCCAAGAATGGCTTACAGAACATGGTTTATCCATCTCCCCCCCAAAAAGTAAAATAGTGGTATTTTCGAGGCGAAGACTCATCCCAGAAGTGTCAATCTCTATTGGAGACTCATTGATTCCCAATGTGAGCCATGTGAAATTCCTCGGTGTTATGCTACTCGTAGATAGCAAATTGTCTGGAATTCCCCACATATCCTACATAGCTTCAAAATGCGAAAAAAAATCTTAACGTCATTCGCGCTATATCAGGAGCTTGGTGGGGCTCTCATCCTTACTCCCAAAAGCTTTTATATAATGCTTTGATTAGAAGCCATTTTGACTATGCTTCCTTTTTGTGGGAACCATGCAATAAAAGTGCCCTTAAAACTTTGGATCAAATTCAAGTAAAATGCTTTCGCATTATAACAGGAGGAATGAAATCTACCCCCACTAACGCTCTCCAGGTCGAGCGTGGTGAGGGTCCTCTCTTTCTTCGCAGGCAGTACCTATCAGACAAATTCTGGTTCAAAAAGTGTTTTTTCATAACCATCCACTGTTCCATATACTACACTCACTTCACCAACAAATTTCAATTTCCCCATACTGGCGACATAAAGATTTACGATGTCTTTTAAAAAGCTATATAAAGTTTGTAAACATTCAATCTCCAATCTTCCAAAATAGCAACAACTTACTCTTCTCCACTCCCTACGAAGCACTAGTTTTCAATCCAAACATCATTGACTTTCATCCTTGACTTTGGACTTGACAAGAAAACCATTGATCCTAACAGCAAATTAAAGAAAATCATCTCAGAAAATTGGCAAGACTGGATCATTATGTACACAGATGCTTCAAAATCTTCTAACAAAGATTGTGTAGGTTCTGCAGTTTGGTTCCCTAAATACAGAATAATATTAAATTTTAAGTGCCCACCTGAATCATCAGTTTTCACAGGTGAATCTATTGCCATCTTAGACGCAATTCTATATGCCGAATCTCACAACCTGGAAAATACCTTAATTCTCTCTGACTCTCTTAGCTGTCTCCAAACTATTATCTCCAGCTCCTTCCACTCTAAATTAAATCTTTTCCCTATCTTCTTTATTAAAAAAGCATTATATAATTGTTACAAAAAAGGCCTAAAAGTTGTTTTGGCTTGGATTCCAGGCCATTCTGGGATACATGGTAATGAGTGTGCTGATCTCTTGGCTAAGAAAGCAACACGAACAGGTATCCTCTCTCAGTATCAAATTTTCCCCCATGACTTGCTTCCACTAGCAGGATCTGACTTCATGGCATCTTGGCAAGGTCTCTGGGAACAAACTAAAACCATAAAATGTAAACACTACGCTCGGGTTCAAGACACAATCCCATACAAACCTTGGTTTTTCCATTATCATGAAGCTAACTTAATTTAATTTAATTTACTACATCAACCATTTGCCGTCTTCACTTTGGTTATTCTTGCACACCAGTACACCTAGCCAAATTAAGGTTAAGGGATAGTTATTTATGTGAATGTGGTCTTGATGAAGGTTCAACCGATCACATATTTTTCGAATGTCCTCGACTCAAGTTCTCCTTGTATGATATCCTTCCTCAAAACATCCCTCGTTCTACTAATTCTACCTGTCTGCTGTCTCTCGTATTCTCCTGATTTGTTCATATTTTATGTGATTTTATTTATACTAACAGTATTAAGTTGTACCATAAAACTAATCATTGTTGGTGGTAGAATTATAAATGTTTGTGTTGTAGATTAGAAGCCAATCACAAACAAAAAAAATTTAAAAAATTTATAAAAAAAAAAAGATTTTATTTACCTTGTTGTCACTCCCATGACTGACTTGACATTGGCAGAATTCTTTTAAGAGAAGCCAAAAAGTAAAGAAGAAGAAGAACTATACACCTGATTGAGATGAAATTTAGTATAGTTACTCATTTCGCTCTGTAGACACTCAATAAGAAGTGATTTTACTATAGACCCATAAAAAAAAACGTGATATTTTACATCTAGGTTCTCCAATAAAATATTATTGTGCGCCCAGCGAAGCAAGCAGGTATCAGCTAGTTATCTTGATAATTTGCAACCCTGCATTCCACGCATGAGACCAATTAGATTAAATTATACTCCTTCAATAAAAATGAACAGCAAAATTGGTTAACTACTAGGGATGTTCGATGATCATCAATTTTAAAAATTAAAGCATCTATGTTTTAACATCAACATTGACACATGTTAAACATCAAAACATTGATGTCAATGAACCCATAATTGATTATTGGGAACTTGCGAACAATGCAAACCTGCAAATCAATATCAACTAAATCTTGCATCACCTCAGAAGATTTAAAATTTTCAATAATTCAGCATTTCTGAACGTGTCACCTGTAATGTCACAGTGGTCACTGTTTTCGCTGTCGCATAATAACTATTCTACGTAAATTGATATTCAAGGTAACTGTTACTTTTCCCTTGCTGTGTATTCCCACATAATTTTGAAACAATATGTAAGTATATCTACACATATACAAAAAACATAGATAATGGTCAACATTGATGTTTTGAGTAGGCTAAACATCGAACATTGATGTTGAGCTATCGATGCCAACATCTATGTCATCATCAATGTTTCTGCAACATCGATCATCGAGTAAATGCACTGAGTACTATGATTCTTATCACTAAAATTGTTCCTGGTTCTCTACACTCACTATATGAAACACAACAGCATTTAGTTGCTGTTTTACACTAGTAAAAGACTGTGAGAGTGTAGTCCTTTCCCATTTGCGCTGCAACCATAATATAGCTGCAGCATAAGCATAAGTTCTACCATGTTAACATAAACATAATAATATAATATATTATCCTTAAAAAATCAGTGATAGGTAGCCTTACCTTGGATGCTGTACCATCATCTTTTCAATGGAGAAAGGGTCATCTCTAAGATGATTATCAGACTGGGTGCTTGGAGAGCCATCTTGATCCAAGTTGTCCAAACCTGGCAATCCTGCTATAAAGAAAAAAAGTTTTTATTGTAGATTTTATTACAAGTTGTAAAGTAACAAATTAAACTCACCTCATATTTTGCTACTTAACAGAAGAAACACCTTGGCAAACATTCAAATAAGTAAACTTAATACACAAAAGCAACACCTCTGTAGGGGTTGCACTCAGTAGCATAGCAAGGGAGGCATAGCCCCAGGTGGCGGACCTTATCTTTTTAAAAGATGCCAGAAAAATCCAAGACATCTAAAACTTAGCTGTTACTACATAGTTTTTATTAATATATTACAAACACTAGCATTCATCATCATCATTACAGACCTTCACAAGTCCACTGCTGAACATAGGCCCCCCAAGGAATGCCACAAAGCACGGTGCTGCGTCAACTGCATCCATCGACTCCCTGCATGTCTTACCAGGTTGTCACTCCATCTAGTGGGAGGATGCCCTACACTTCGCCTGCCGGTATAAGGCCGCCACTCGAGAACCTTTTTCCCCCCATCAGTTGTCTGTTCTTCGAGCTATATCACCGGTCCATTGCCGCTTCAGCTTACTAATCCGTTGGGCTATGTCGGTCACTCTGGTTCTACTGCAGATATCCTAATTTCTAAGTTTATCACACAGAGAAACCCCGAGCATAGCAAACACTAGCATTGCAAGCTTGAAAATACAGATAATCTGCATGCACTTGCAGAGGCTAGGTATATACATAAAAAAGTACAATATACTATTCATTTCCAAATAATATATACACTGTGATTATTGACCCCTATACTAGTACTGGTGTTGCAAGATCTATAGCTTCTTGTATAATAATAAAAATGTAGCTAGTGTTCATAAAAATAGTCAATTAAAATGGTAGGAAGTAACAGAGACTTATGACTAAATAGTGATCAAAATATGTGTTGGCAGAATTCACAATATAAATCTTGTGGCAAATTAGCACAAAATTTATAGTTGGCACATTTAATAGTACCCCTTGTAATGTAGTGGTGGTGTAAGAATAACAACCTACTACCTCTTTTTTTTTATAGGAAAAGGGTGACAAGCAAGCACAGTCCACCTGATGGTAACTGGTTACTGTGGCCCCTAGACATCTACATCTATCCTCATTTGTGAATCAAAATGCAGATGTGTTGTCACCCCTGAGGACTAAGATGGAATGCCTCTTTTCCAGTAAAAAGGGTCTCCGGTTCTCTACACTCATCTTACAAAGCACAGCAGCATTAAGCCGCTGTGCTTTGTAAGATTTTGTGAAGCGTGGTCCTTTCCCAGTTGAGCCGACCCATTGGTGCTACAACTAAACTTTACAATTAATATAGCTGCAGCATGGCTCTACCATGTAAAAACTATGGTATGGGCGTTGTAAGAGGCGACAGAGGAAAACAAACTAGTAGATAAGCAGCATCATATTCCTGATAACTACAAAAATAAAAAATAAACTACAGTTGGTAAATTGCCAACCAAGCATGGCAACTATGGCAAATGTCCCTCTTATGAAGAAATTTAAGGGGACGCCTATGTTTCGCAGTGAACCTTGATAGCCTGTAAGGATGATCATGATGATGATGATATAATAGAATTGTACTAAGAAATTTAGTTTAAGACTTGCCTCTTCAGTTACTATGGAATCAAATTCATCAATTTCTGTTAAAATTACTAAACGACAGTACTATAAAATTTTTATTTCGAAATACATCGTTTATGTTGATTTTGACAGAAACTTGATACATGTTAGAAACAAAATTGCGCGAAAATCTCGTTGTTTATATATGAGCATTTTATATTTTTCAATGGCATGCTCATATCAATTCTGTCAATAGATATAAAACCTTGACAATATTTGTTTACAATTTAGTTGAATTCGGTGATGATTGTTTAGAGGCCACAAATGTTTTGGTTTCGATTCTAGGGCGACTCTAACTGAATCATTATTTTATCAAATCTTACGAAATTTGTTTATGATTTCTAAAAGTTTCTGTTTAATTATTTGTTGATTGAACAAAAAAATATATAATTCATAAGGTTTCACATTGAAAAACAATAATAAAGTAAGGGTAAACCACGAAAAAAGCCACTACGATTTACTATCTTATACAACTTTTTAAAGTTGGATATTAACACACAATACGTATTACACTATTTGTGAGTATTTGAGTTAAATATTATAATTATCACTCACCATAGCACGCGTTAATTAATAAAAATGTGAACAAATATCTCACTATGACACTGTCCGCCATTCTTCATTCATCATAACAATGCACTACAACTATCAATAGTATGTTTGTATTTTTGTTAACTGAAAATATTTTCTGTAATAATGTTAAGTAAGTACAAATATTTGTTATGAAGTAATTTTAAAATGTTTTTTTGCAATCCTATTACAAGTATAACACAGAAAAGAAAGGAATCTAAACAAAATCAAAATGTGAAGTTATGAAACTTTTCCGCTGAAATTAGACAAGATATGGCTATACTGATGCTAGTTACTAAGGCCGGCCCACATACATACGGAATTCCGTTTCGGAATCCCGATTCGGGAATCTACATCACACACACACGTTTTTTTTCCGTTCGTAATAACAAGGGTCAGTTGAGAGACGTTAGCCAATGAGTCTAGACATTCTGCCAGCGAATAATGACGACGATTTTCTAATTGCAAGTTCCATTGTTGCTATATCATTCTTACTAGGTGATATTGCAAGCTTAGGGTGATAGGTGCATCCCCTTATCACCCTAAGCTTGCAATATAGTCAATACTATGTAAAAAGATCTATCTATCCAGAGATATTTTTTAAATATTTATGTATGTAAATTCTATCGACGAATTATTAGATAAAATAAGATGAAAGGTTACGAAAAGCTATACACCTACAAGATTAAATGTAAAACATACATAAATACACCTACTCGCTTCGGTCGTGCGACGAACACTGAGCGCGTTCCGTACGGATTTTACGTATGTGTGTGGCGATTCGTACAAAATCTATGGAAGACGTGCGTTCGGAGCGGCTTTTTTCCGTTCGAGATCCCGAACGCACAGGCGGTCATACGGAATCTCGAATCGGAGAAATTCCGTACGGAAAAATAACGTACGTGTGTGGCAGGTCATAGATTTTATATGGACTTGCTGCGTTCGGAATCCCGAATCGGAATATCGAAACGGAATCACGAAACGGAATTCCGTGAACACATCACACCCATAGGTTTTTTTCCGTTCGGAATAACAAGGGTTAGTTGAGAGACGTTAGCCATTGATTCTAGACATTCTGCCAGCGAATAATGACGACGATTTTCTAATTGCGATTCCATTGTTGCTGTATCATTCTTATTAGGTGCATCTCCTTATCACCCTAAGCTTGCAATATAGTAATACTATGTAAAAAGATCTATCTATCCAGAGATAAAAAAAGATGAAAGGTTACGAAAAACTATACACCTACAAGATTAACGGAAAAAAAAACGTGTGTGTGTGATGTATTCACGATATCCCGATTCGGGATACCGAAACGGAACCGCGAAACGGAATTCCGTATGTATGTGGCCGGCCTTACTGTTGTTTTTTTCAATCATATAATATAAATAAAATTAACTCTAAATTACAATAAAATTCTTTGTTTATTATGTTGTCATTTTTATTATGGATAATTTTATTTCTAAGCATATTACAAAATATACATTACGATATTTTATATGGTAATGTTACTCAAAGATCAAAGAGTACAATAGTAATTAGCACGGGTGGTAATCTCTATATAAATATTCCTAGCCTTATGTCTATGGCCCTCAAGAATTGATTTTGACAGCGTTGACTTAGGTTGAAGTTTCTGGCTGCCCACGTGACGCGGCAGGCGCCGACCGACGCCATTATTGTTTGCCATTACAGTTTCGTTTGTTGTTGTGTGTAGTGTTGTTGCGTTGATTGAATTCCGCCAACCCCCTCAATTTGAAACTGTAATAATACCTAATATTTTCATAATGTTTAATACGTGCTGTATTGAAAGTTGTGGTAGTAGACGCAAGGACGTTAAATTACATAAGTTTCCAATATCAGAGATAGGACTCCATAAGTGGTTAAGGTGTATAAATAGTGACAATTTAAATAGTTTAAGTGTTCAAGAACTTTATAAGTTGTACGTGTGCCATAAACACTTTGAGATGCGATTCATTAACTCTGAAACATCTCGTCTTCAGCGTAATGCATATCCCACGTTGTTTACGGAAGATGAAATGACGACTGGGGTTTCATTAAGAGTATACGAAGACAGCAGTGAGTAATTTTTTTATTCAATTTTTCATTCATTTATTAATGAAATTTTAATTCTTCCTTATTGTGGAGAAACCAGACTGCCCGTTCCTGCAACACGACTCGTATGCACTACTGCGGGTCTGGTGTAGTGGGAAGTGGGCAGAGGTATATGAATTAATGTAATTATAATTAGTTAATGATGTTACTAACATAGTTTATAAATTACTTTACTAACCCATATGGATCATGGTTCGAAATAAATGATTATTACATTTACACATACATTATAATTTGTATGTTTTGTTCTTATGCATATCTCACAGAATAGTTATAAATTCAATTGAAAATATTTGAAAGACCAGTTAATCAAAACATACAGTAGGTTTTTCCTAACATATGATTTCCTGATCTCATCTCTTTTATTTATTTATTTAACAATTTATATACCCACAAAGTAATGTTAAGTTTCAGCAAAGTAAAAACAAAAACAATGTTTTGTAAGAACTCCCTATTTCACTGAAATTTCTTCCAGCAGGCCAATACTGGACAATTCAAAGAGAAGCAGACTTATTCTGCACTCTTATAAAAATTATCATTATTTTAAGATATACACAATATAAAATATAGATAATAAGTTACATATATATAGTTGTTGGGAGCACTAAGCTCGAAGTTGTTGACGAGTATGTTTACCTGGAACAAATAGTCCAACTTGGTAGGGCAGCATTTAGGAAATTACAGCACATCTTCTCGTCAGGTACACCTCAAAACTTAAAAACGAGACTGAACAACCAGTGCGTGTTGCCAGTGCTGACCTATGGAACTGAGATGTGGTCCTTTACTGCTGGCCGAATGAGGAAGCTCAAGGTCGCTCAGCGAGCTATGGAGAGGGCTATGATCGGAGTTTCTCTGCGTAATAAACTTAGAAATTAGAATATCCGCAGTAGAACCAGAGTGACCGACATAGCCCAACAAATTAGTAAGCTGAAGTGGCAATGGGCCGGCCATATAGCTCGAAGAACCGAAAATCGATGGGGGAAAAAGGTTCTCGAGTGGCGGCCTCGTACAGGCAGATGAAGTATAGGGCGTCCCCCCACTAGATGGAGTGACGACCTGGTAAGATATGCAGGAAGTCGATGGATGCATGTGGCTTAGGACCGTGCTTTGTGACATTCTTTGGGGGAGGCCTATGCTTAGCAGTGGACTTGTTAAGGGCTGTAATGATGGTGATGATGGTGACATACCTATATACATACACATACATATACACACAAGTCTTGCATTAAATCATTGGAACAATGATGAAATATAGTGCTCTTTAACTTGCCTTTTAAGCACTGACATTGTTTGAGCCTCGTGAATTAAAGCAGGAAGATAATTCCATTTGGTTGACTCGACCACGCTCTCTTAGAATACCAGCGTTAAATAGCAGCTTAACACTGCTGTGTTTTGTATGGTGAGTGTAGAGAACCGGAGACCCTTTTTACTGGAAATGAGGCATTCCATATTAGCCCTCATGGGTGACAACACATCTGCATTTTGATTCATAATTGAGGATAGATGTAGATGTCTATGGGCTGCAGTAACCACTTACCATCAGGTGGACTGTGTGCTCGTTTGTTACCCTTATTCTTTAAAAAAAAACTCAAGTTTGTATAATTGTTTCATTTAAATAGAAAAAACTCCATATTAATAACTACAAAAACATTATTTTCATTTGATAGTGTTAAAACATTTCTTGTTCTTTGTTTAATAGATGTTACCTTTAAATAATAAAAGAACAAGTCCTATTATCATCGACAGTGATTAATATTTTTGTTATTATAGTTCCTTTAAAACCAATCAGCCATAGTGGACTTTTTTATCTTCTTGAATTTTCCCCTTTTTTTCAAAGGCAATACTACAGACCAGACAAGCAATGACATCTTATTAATAATGTCATATTAAACTTGATTTTTAAAATGTTTTTTTTTCAGAATATGTTGATCCTTCCATTGACCACTCTTATTATATCAAAAATAATAAACATGTGGATCACACCTATTCTCGATCAATGGACAGCAACTCTCAGATTCACCTGAACATATTAGAAGGTAAGAGTTATTTACAGTACTAGTAGTACAATACCATTTCCAAAAAGGTCATAAACTAACAAAATGAATCATTGCAATTTGTAAATGCATTACCTTACATTACCCATTAATGTAATGTGTTACATTAATATTTTATTTTTATTTATAGGTGTTCAGATGCCCATGATTCAATCTACTTCTGAAACTGTTGAAATGATGGAGGTTGGCACTCAACAAATTTTGAGAGAAGGTAAAGTCATATGAAAGTAGATTTATTTATTTGACTGAATATTTTGTGTGTTACACTCAATAACATTTTATACAGACAGATCTAGTGTATATATTATATAAATGAAATATTTTTCTTACCCTTACACTTGCAGAATAATTTCTAATTTCTGACTAATTTAATACTTACAGTACATAGTATTTGTTAATTTTTACAGATTCCATAGTCAAACCATTGTTATCTACCCCAAAGAAGAAGCATAGAAGCCGGTTACTGCCGAAAATATCATCTCTTACTCCAAATTGTAGAAGGATGTACAAAGAATACAGGAAGTCAAGACGACAGCTAGACTTCAGGAAAAGAACACAGAGGGCTCTTAAATTTTCTAAAGACCAGTCTTTTTTAAATATGACTAAAAATATGAATCCATTGGCTCAAAAATTATTTTGGATGCAAATTAAACAGGCAAACAAAAATATAAAAGGGAGACGATTTTCAGATGAAGAGAAATTAATTGCTCTATCCATTTTAAAGCAAAGTCCGAAATGTTACAGGTTTTTGCAAAAAATGTTTATATTGCCATCCAAAACCACTTTAAACAAAGTGGTAGCTAGCCTTGATGTTACTTCTGGAATTAATCTTAAGATATTTGAGGCTCTCAAGCTAGAGGTAAGTTATTCTTAAATAATTATTTTGAATATAACCAAAATTTTGGAAGTGCATGATTTGCAATTGTAGTTCCACCAACTTATATGTTACAATTATAGAAATATAATATTCAATCTAATAATCAAATTTTTTTTTCAGGTTGAAACTTGGCCTGAGCTTAGGAAATTTTGCTCGATTCTTTTTGATGAGGTTGCATTAGAGGCAGGGCTCACATATGACAAGAATAGAGACAAAATACATGGATTTGTTGAACTAAAGGATAGGACCAATGAATTTGCAGATCATGCATTGGTTTTTTTATTGCGTGGAGCAGTTCACAAATGGCAACAGCCAATTGCGTACTATTTCTGCAAAGGTGCCACTTCTGCTATGCAGATGAAAGAAATAATACAACAAATTGTCGAAGCTGTGGGAAGCACAGGTCTTCTTCCTGTAGCTCTATGCTGTGACCAGGGAACGGCATTCCAAGCAGTCTTGAAAAGCTTTCAAGAAGAGACAAGAAGACACCAAATACTATCAGGAGATAGAACAGGTACATATACCTTATTGATTTCTTTTTTCATTTAAATTTAATGAAATAAAAGTAAAAATAGGAATAGAATAAGATTTAAGAAGATATTCAGCAAGTGCTTTGTACATACAAATATATTACTCTGTTTTCTCACTGGATTAGACTGGAGATTTATAATACAATATCCCCTCTGCCAGATTCTTCATATATTTTCTTTTTTCCATAATAATTTTCATTTATTTCTTTATAAATTAAAAACCATTCTATAATTACTAAAACTGCCTAGTTTGCCTTTATCGGACATCTAGCAAACAAAACATAAACATACAGTCAGTTGTCATTCTTGGTTGTCTAGCAAACCTGAAGACTGTTAAAAACCATTTCGTAACATTTCTTGCAGCCCAGATATCTTCTCAATGCCAAATTGATATTAGAGGGAACCTTTTCAGTTTTTGAAAAACTGAAATTGATTATAACTTTATAATACCTATAAATTTTATTTTCAGATGAAGCAATTGAGATTAGTGGCCATAAGTTAAATATAGTTTTTGACCCTCCTCATCTCATAAAGGGCATAAGGAATAATTTTTTGACAAAAAATATTAAATTTGGCGACGAAATTTCAAAATGGTCTGACATAGTTGATGTCTACAAAATGGACTGCAATACCATTGGAGATACAAAACTGCTGCCTAAACTAAATGATGAGCATGTTATGTTGGGGAAGATAAAAAAAATGAAGGTGAGAAACAGTTGCATATTTCTTTAATACTTTCATCTCACGGAATATATAAATAAATATAATTATAACTAAAAAAACAGAATTTGTTAAACAGAAAGATCCTGTTGTCCAGTGCCTGTACAGTTTCCAACTGTTGCTACTTCTACGAGAGGATGTGGGGAAATATTTCAATTTTATGGCAGTGGATTCACTTACGCCGCCACTGCATGGCGAATTTTTATTATTATATTATTTCCAGATAAATTGGATTGTCTGTACTATAGTGGGTTAAAAAAATTTACTCATGACAGACATTTTTTATGCCATGTTGTGTTAGTATAAGATAATACATTACTCAATGTCATTTGTTGGTGTTGTAAGATGCGACTAAGAGTAATACGAAAAAATATTTTTAGCCCCTTATGGATGATAGTAAACTATTGTGTGTATACCAAATATAAATACACTAATCAACACAGAGGGCAAAGACAAAAGTACAAGACTCTTGGTAAGAAATATAATGTGAATGCCTATCTGCCAAGTACATCAGTAGGTTGCTTACAAACTGACGTAAAATAAAACAATTGAACTATTGAATGAATATTCAACTATAATTCTCAATTTATCTAAGTTGTATTTTATTTTATGAATAACTTCAATGTGACGATTGAAAAATTTGCCCTTGGTGACTGATTGTATCTAAAAATCCTTTACAATACTCACAATAGTAGATAAAACTTTACAAAGTTTATCAAGTTATTGTTAATTTTTTAAATGAATTTATTTTGTTTCAGGTTAAAAACTGTGTAAGAGTTTTAAGCCACAAAGTAGCACAAGCTTTGAATTTTGCTGCAAATTTTTGTAAGTTTAACATGTTTGAAATATAAATTATTTTAATTAGAAATTAGGTATATTGTAATAATAACTTTAAATTATTTTTTTAGCTCATGATGTTCATGGAAATAAGGTGAGCCAAACATTGAGGAACACTGCATCCACTATTCTACTTTTTGATAACTTATTCGATTCAGTAAATGGGGCAAGCACAAGCCACAAATACCACAAAGGTAAAAATTTAAGAAAAGCTGTTACAGCGACATCAGAACATCACACATTTTGGCAAGATGCTATAAAAAAATTAAATGAAATGAAATTTGTAGACCTTCGTGGCAGAGAATCATCAGTTCCTTCGATAAAAAATTGGATTGTAACTATAAAGAGTTTGCAAAGGCTGTGGCAATTCTTTAATGAAAAAAATGTGAAGATTATGCGCCCACATTATTTCAACACAGATCCAATAGAAAATTTCTTTGGCCAAGTGCGCGCATATAACTTTAGGAATAATGATCCAGATTGCTACACCTTTGCAAACACTTTTAAAACACTTAATAACTGGATTTATAAAGTTCCACAATCCTACATTTAACTGCGAGGATGATGAAGCAGCTCCTTTGCTAAAATTAAAAAATTTATTCGAAAAAATATCAGGGGGTGCAGTCAAAAAGATTTTAGACACTAGTAATATTAATTTTAATTGTTGTAGGCCAGAAAATATTCAAACAGCTGCTCGTCAAGAAAGACTGAATGTCTATTCTCAGGCATATACAGCAGGATGGGTCATTAGAAAAGTTTTAAAGGAAATAAAATAACTGCAGCCTCTGCAAGGCAAATTTTACAGTGCAAAATGAAGAAGAAATTCATTCATGGATTTCAATAAGGGAATATGAGGCAATAAAGTTAAAAAAATGACTTATCCTGCTGAACATGCAGTGATAATGTTCGGCTTAAGTTTTAAGGAGTCAAGTGAATATTTGGAGCTATATCCGCAAGAAAATAATATTAGTAAAAATATTAAAGAAAAAATTGTATCCAAATATTCATTTGACTTCTTATCTTGCCAAGAGCACCCTTCTCTAGAATATTTTCTGGGCTTAACAATCAGACTCGCAGTTTACAACTGGTGTTATACAGTAAATAAAATTTTAAAATAACTGATGTCTTGCGTCTAGAAGGAAAGAATTTGCCGCCAATGACAAAAAAAGCACTTGTTAAATTTAAACTAAAATATAAAAATAAAAAAGTTAACAAATATTTCTGTATTTTATTTCCACCTAAATTATATTCATTATACCTAAATTTAAATTATTATTGGTTTAAATTTATGTACATGTTCACATCGTGAGCACATACATAAATTTAAACCAATAAAGTTAAATTTTCAAAGTTCTGAGAGGATCCTATTTCTACTACGGGCTTTTAGGCTGAAGCAAATACATGTCTTTGCCTTAGATTAATTTAAAATACTAAATGTCACTTTCAATTCTTGAGGCTCTCTATTGGCCATTTTTTTAGTAGGGAAGACGGTCGTCTGTGCGCTAGCACTTCTTACTAGTTTGTGGTAATTAGTAACTATTAGTGATGGGTCAACTCGAGGCACTAACTCGAGTTAATTGCGTTTAACTCGAGTTAACTCGAGTTGTATCTCCCTAACTCGAGTTTGGGCTGCTGTACAAGAAGGAAATGAAGGAATCAAGTGAGCCAGCTAAAGAGGAAGAGCGCGATTCGTTCGTTGTGCACGCGCTTTGTGTTTGAAGTAGTATTTAGTTACAGCCAAAACAATTTGTTATTTAGAGATTTATAATAGCTAAGTTATGTAATTTAATTTCATTTATAATTATAGTTATGTAAGTCACAGACCTATTAATGTAATACCCGAAAAGGGTGGTTAAGTTTTAAGATACATCATATTTAAAATTAACGCCAAACACTTAACTTACAATAAATATTTTGAATTTAAAAAAGTTTAAATTATTTAAGAATATTTGAACTGTGATAATTAAACTATTAATAGCTTATGTACCTACATCTTAAAGCTTGACTAATATTATTTCGTGAAGATTGCTATATAGCTAGTTTTGTTGTTAAATACAGGTACTTACTTTAACTAATATTAAAACCAAAAATACATAAGTAAAATCGTCAGTAGCTTAATGTCAGGGCGCAGACCGGGAACTCGAAAGGTCGTGGGTTCAAATCCGCCATTCAACTACTGTCGTGAACCACTTCTAACACAAGCATTTTAAGCTTACGAGAAGTGGTTAAAGGGAATATTATTATTGTTTAATAGAATTACTAGTATTCATTTTATTAATTAAAAAGTATGTGATACATACTAAATATACCTTTTTATTTCAATCCTACATAATAAGTTTGGTAATTATAGTTATCCCAACCAGTGGAGTAGCGTGCCTTAGAGAGGCCCTGTATCAAAATTTGTCAGGGGGCCCAAATAAATGGTAAAGATTTTTCACAAAAGGAACAAAAACTCTCGCATTGAATTAAAATAATTATATATTGATTATAAGTTATTACTTACAATTAGTGTTTCTAGGAACTAAGCTATCCAAATAATTCAAACCAACATCCTGTCCCATAGAAATCCTTAGAATTATTGCTCACATACGTCTGGGGCCTCTGTAGCCCGGGACCCCGTATCATTGATACGGCTTATACACCGGTAGCTACGCCCCTGATCCCAATACACCAAAGAGATATATAGAGAAACAAATTTATAAAAATAAATTTGTAACAAATTATTCCGGAAAATCCAGGCAATGGGGAATGCCCCGAGGCCCGAGACCTAAAGTGCAAAGCACCTGTCGAAGAAGACAACGTGTAAGTTCGCTCAAGACCAGCTACCAGTTTTACAGATTAAAGCAAGAAAGAAAGCAATAGGGAAGTGATAGGGAAATTACGAAGATAAAATTGCTGTTTCATTTCCTACTGTATCTTCTAATAAGAGGAAAATACTGTCCATTCAAGGGACGTCAAAACCGGGACCACTCCAAAGGGAATCGTTATCTTAGTCGTCTAACTTTTCTTTTCAAAAAGGGCAACAGGCGTCCTCGTATGACAATCCTTCTCGGGGGTCACGCCCACCTCGTTGTTCCCGAACCCAACGTGGTGTGATTTCAGTTTCATGGGGTGTCAATGACTGATTAACCCCTGACTATTGGACCCTTTCAGTTGAAGGATTGACGCCGAGCAACAGGCTGCGACCCATTCAATTGGTTATAGTAAGTAATACCACTAACTTTGCCTTGCGTGTGTGGACTACGAGAAGGCCTTTGTTTCCGTCAAAATTTGGGCGGTGCTACAGTCCCTATAGCGGTGCAAAGTTGACTGTCGGTATATCGATAGTGATTGTACAGATAGTGTTTGTACATAAGGGCTATGATGGCTATCTAAGAATTGAACAAGAGTACGAAACCTATCCAACTGCAGAGAAGTGTAAGGCAGGGTGATGTAATATCTCCTTAACTCTTCGCCGTTGCATTGGAAGACGTTTTCAAAGTACTGGACTGGAAAGGATACAGTATTAACGTCAATTGCGAGTACATCATTCACCTTTGATTTGCCGACGATATAGTCCATATGGCAGAATCACTGGAGAACCTAAGTACTATGCTCAATGACCTCAATAGTGCCTCCCAACGGATAGTTCTTAAGACAAACATTGACAAAACGAAAGTCATGTGTAACGTCCATTTTTTTTTATAAGACAGGGGGCAAACGAGCATGCGGCTCACGTGATGGTAAGTGACTACCGCCACCCATGAACAACCGCAACACCAGGGGAATTGCAGATGCCTTGCCGGCCTTTTAAAAAGAAGTAGGCTCTTTTCTTGAAGGTCCCTAAGTCGTATCAGTCCGGAAAAATCGCTGGTGGTAAACTATTCCACAAGGAAGTAGTGCGAGGAAGAAAACATCTTCTAAATCGCACAGTGCTAGACCGCCAATATCCAGATGGTGTGGATGGTATCGGGAGTTCCGCCGCGATGTGCGTTCGTGAAATTTGGCGGCTGGGATTAATCCGAACAATTCCTCAGAGCACTCCCCGTGGTAAATGCGAAAAAAAAATGCAAAGAGATGCAACATCTCTTCGGAGCGCCAATGAGTCGGGCCGATCAGAAAGGACTCGGTCGTCGACGATTCGAACCGCTCTGCGCTGGATGCGGTCAAGTGGAAGAAGCTGGCACTGGGGAGCCCCAGCTCAGAGATGGGAACAGTATTCCATGTGACACCGAACCTGCGCCTTGTAAAGGTGCAGGCGTTGTGCCGGCTTGAAATACTGTCCCACTCTGCTGAGCACGCCAAGCATTTTATAGGTCAATTTGGCCTTCTCTTCCAAGTGACCACGAAACTGCACGTCACTCGTTATGTCGACGCCGAGGATTCCGATACTGGCTGAGGCAACAAGGGGAGTACCTTGAAACTGAGGAGATACGACAAAGGGGTTCTTTTTAGCGGTAAACGCGCAAACTTGTGTCTTCTGAGGATTATACTGGACTAGATTTAGTCGCTCCCAATCCGAGACTTTGTTCAGCAAAGACTCGACTTCAGACACAAGTTTGTTCCGGTACTCGGCGACGTTTTCCCGAGAAATATTGGCACGGCCGATGTATAGAGCATCACCAGTGCTGTCATCCGCATAGCAATGAATGCTACCGGTTTGGAACAAGTCTATTTTAGCAATCCAATCCAAGGCGGTGGGTTATGATGAGATTAGTAGACATATGGTAGTATTTATACTAGAGCACCTTCTTCCTGCAATTTCCCATATCATCAATTTTTCCCTTGATTCATGTCAGTACCCTAATCTTTGGAAGAGGGCTTTTATAAAGCCTCTCCCAAAAGTTCCTACTCCCATTCTTCCCAATCATTTTCGCCCAATATCCATTCTACCCTTTCTTTCCAAAATTTTAGAATCCTGTGTTTACAAGCAAATCTCTACTTTTATTTCAAAACATAACCTACTGAGTATATTTCAGTCTGGGTTTCGCCCTGGTCATAGTACCACTACTGCTTTAATTAATGTTACTGATAATATTAGACAAGGTATGGAAGAAAAAAAGATAACAGTACTGGTACTAGTTGATTTCTCAAATGCTTTCAACACAGTTGATCATGAAATCCTCCTTTCTATACTATCTCACCTGAATTTTGGTCCTACTGCTTTGGAATGGTTTGCATCTTATCTTCGCGGTCGACAGCAGTCAGTCTGTGTGGGGCAAATGTCCTCAGCTTGGGCTGATGTGGATGCTGGTGTGCCGCAAGGCGGTATTCTTTCTCCTATAATATTTTCAATTTTCATAAACTTTATTACCTCCATCCTCGACTGCTCGTATCATTTGTACGCCGATGACCTTCAGCTTTATGTGCAAACTGAATTTGAGGATATACATAATGGGATCAAAAAACTTAACGAGAACTTATCAGCTATCAAAGATTGGTCTACTCGTTATGGAGTTTTGGTCAATCCTTTGAAATGCCAAGCTATACTAGTGGGTAGCTCAAGAATGCTAGCTAAGATTAATCTGGCAGATTTACCTCCTATTTATTATGATAGTGTTATAATTCCGTTCAGTAATTCTGTTAAAAATCTTGGCCTACATATCGACAGCAGGTTGAATTGGAGAACCCAGGTTTCAGAAGTGAGTCGTAAAGTCATTGCCACTTTATGCTCTCTGTATCGTCTAAAACATTTTCTTCCCACAAAAACTAAAATCATGCTTGTCCATTCGCTCATATTACCCATAATTGATTATGCAGATGTGTGTTACCCAGATCTGTCCCAAGATCTTCTGAACAAATTGGAACGCCTTCTTAACAACTGTATACGATTTATTTTCGGGCTTCGTAAGTATGACCATATTTCGCAATATAGATCTAAGCTAAATTGGCTTACAATCCGTCAGAGGCGCAATTCCAGAATACTGCTTGTTCTTTTTTCCATTTTAAATGACCCATCTTCGCCTTCTTATCTTAAGAGTAAATTTGACATCAGAAAAACATCCAACAAGTATGTTTTTAAAAAATTGGTCCGTAACCATCTATTGAAGACAAAGCATTTTACTTGATTCATCCATTTGATATGTATTGCTAAACAGACGCATATATTCATAGGTATTTGTATGTACTAATTATATATTACATATTTAAATATGTATATTTGTATGTACATACATACAAATGTATATATTTGTATATATGTTTGTATA